AAAAAGTGAGCGCCAAAAGTCTGCAAAGCCAGAACCCCAACACGGACGTTGTGTTTAATTTGCGACCAATCTTTCGCAACAAGAGCAACACTCTCACGGCACGTTCAACGTTCGCACCCACTCGAAGAGGCATTTGAGTGTCCCGCATGCCGGAAAACTGGGCATCATGTCCTTGTCCCTGTAGGAACCATTCCATGGGTAGCACACGTGGAGCAACAACACGGCAAACAATTTGCTCCTGATCCTTACTTTTCGGAAAAGCCTGCCTTTTGCCTTATCTGCTCGACAGAGCATTCTGTCGGAGGGTTCAGCCTACACTTTTCTAAGGCCCACGAAAAGGAATCTCAATATCCATTTGAATGTACCGCCTGCCGCCAAAATGAACGAGTGGCGCAGATCCGGGATAGGAATACCTGGATACGCCACGCTATGGAAGTACATGGCAGTATGGACCAATACTATGGCAGTATTTTGAGAGCTAGCCCATGCGCACCGTTGCTTATTAGAAAGAGGAAACGAAGTCTATGTGTGGCTGATAGTGACATAGATGAAGATTCATCTCGGTTTGTTATCAGGAATATGGAGAATGAGGAATTTTGGGTTACAGGTAGAGACACGGATTACCTAGACCTACCCCATGATAGTTGCTAAAAGACATGACATGCCTTGATACTAAACAAGGCTAAACTGACGCGTAAGAAATAGAACATCCATCAACCTTGTGAGATCGTCTCCGCCAGAGGCTTCAGCCTAGGCCACGAGTCTAAAGAAAACGAATCCCACGAGCCCATTTTATTTTGCGAGCCACTTCCGATCAGGTCGGTGCTTGTCTCGTGGTTGTTCCCGGTATAATGGCCTCAGAGCCGGGGCTGGCTGGCTTGGGTTTCACCATGATTTTTGTTTCTTTACTGAAGTGACTAGAGGATGTGACGCTGAAGCTATCGGGTTCACACTCGTACAAGTTAGTCTCTGCATGTCAAGAGAATCAGCTCTTGGGCGCTTGCTGTTGCTGATTTCCGATAAAGCGCCTCTTGCGAGACGGCTTCTTGATCGTTCCTGGCCGAATTTGATGCCTTTACAAGCCAGGCACTGGCCCTTTCTCCCTCGATGGACAGAATTGTGCTGTGACACAGGCGTAATCGTGTCGCCAAGCGAAATAGTTGACGTGACATGCTCGTACGGCCGAATTCGCTGAAGAGGGTGTCAACGAGGTGCTGCCGCCACTCTCGCTGGCTCTAGAAAGATAATGAGATTCGTCGCTGTTTTTCTGTAATAGATAACTGTACACGAGAGCCGTGTGAGTTGGGCGGCTCGTTACTGCCGAGGAAGTCTCCTAATAGCTTCGAAGTCGTGTTTCGCGGTGAGTTGACATATAAATCGTACGTGCAAGCCAAATATATACTTCTTTCTAGTAGTATCGCGCCACTAATGCGCCCGCGAGCACGCTTCATGAGGGCCAATTGGCCCCAGGCTGGCGCATGAATCATTATCAATCATTATCACCTAGATAATGAGAGGAAATGTATTAATAAGCGACGCAGTAATGATAATGATTATTGTAGGACTGAGAATGAAATGATAATGATTTAAAGGAAGATCCAGGTTGTGCCGCAGATGGGCGCCTGTCGTATTACGTCTCGCTGAACTCCACTTCCACCAGGTCCTTCAGCAGCCCATCGTAATCATCCAATAGTCCTGCCCGAAGCCACGATCGTACGGTTTGTGTGATACCGTAAAAACCGAAATGGGTGTCGCGGGTGCTAACTAGTTAGTTTTAGTAGTTAAGGTGGAGAGGGACGTCCCTTATTTTTGGCTCCTGACCTTCTGGGTACCTTGAAAGTACCGCCACCCTACCACTGTAACAGACGCTAAGAATAACGACTAGAAGTTGCCTGTTTCCACTGAGTCACTCGGTTTCTGCCTTTCAACATAAGTCATATCAAAAACAGCCCTACAAAACTGACCATGCCACCATTAGGTGAAGAAATGCGAGCTCGGATTTTTTCGATGCTAAAAAAAAGGATTCTCGACTAAAGAGGCGGCGAATGGTGTTCTGGATACAGAGCCACGATCCCCCAGGTTCGCCGGAGAAGATGGGACACCTCGACAGATGGAAATGGGGGCGTCAGGCCCGACATGCTGCAGATAATTGACGAGCTATACCGGAAATTCGAATGAGAAAGTTGAATAAAGGGAGCTCCGCGAAGCAGCCAGGTGTCCTTGCCGTGCATCTTTGCTTTCGTGGAGGGCTCTCTTGCTCGGCTCGCGCCAGCCCGCCAGCCCTGCCAATCATTTCATTATCGTCATTTCATTGCCTTGCGCACAATGCAATGATCACTATGTAGGGTAAGTTGTCCATGAAATGATTGAGAATGATTGTATTATTGCTGCTGTGTTGTTAGATTCTTGCTATGAGTCGATTATGAAGATGAATTCTCATGATGCAGAGAGGGAAGTTGTTGGGAGCAGCATGAGGCAGTGTAAGTGAAGGGCGTGTGTGAGGACGAGGCGTGGAACAGAGGGCATGTTATAGCAAGAGCCGGGGGTGGGGGTCGGAGTGGCTTGCGGACATTATGAAGGTGGCGTTCAGCAGGAATAAATATGTGGCGTTTCCGTTAAACATATCACATGAATGGCTGAAATTAAATGTCCATGGGTGTGCTTAAGCCAACCGTTCGGTGTAATAGACTCGCCGCCGAGGGGAGACGGCGAGACGGGCCGCAGAGCGGGTATTGATGCGGGCGTTGATGAACTCCGCATAAACGCCTTGGCGAGGATCATGTGAAAGCCAAGTTCCACCGGCCGAATTTTTCTTTTTGAGGTCCGAATTGTTGCGTATAATTAGACCAAGAGTTTGAACCAGCATTCTTTATCTATAATTTCTTAGAGCCATTTGTAAAAAGAATAAAAAAAAGCAAGAAACGCAAGAAAGCAACCCAGATGGCAACGGTGACAGTGACGGACCACGAAATAATGGGCCCAAGGCTCCATTTTCCGCTGATCCGCTGGGATCGCGACGACGTAAACATTATGTCTCAATTACTTCATTTTCTTGCTTTTTACTTATCGGCATTTCTATTCTGTGGAGAATCAATTGCCGAATGCAACCTCGCAAGTCTCTGTGCAGATGCAACGCCATTATCAATCATTGCGATTCATTTCAATCATTATTAATGAATGATGCGCCACTCTGATTGGCCCCGGACGATTCCTTTCGTTTGTGTACCTGACCCAGTAATTTACTAGCGAATCGCTAACAATGTCCTTGAAGAGTGACAACGCCGTGGGTGCCTGGACGGGAATTTGAGGCTCACGATGAGGAACGGGAAAAGGCTCAGACGGCTGTTTCGAGCCCTGGCGGCGCCTCTGGCCTGTACGTGCTATCGGCTGGCTCCTCTCGTCGAGCTTCGTCCAGCTGGACGAAAAGCTCCGCGTCACCAGCGTGAAGGACGAATTGGCTTATGTTACTATCCATTCTATTCGGAATGAATTAGTTTGTATGGAAATCATATGCAAAAAGGTTCTATTATGGCAGCTAGCTGGGTCATGACGCGTACCGCGAAGTTCCTCCTGGGATTATCTGGCTACGTCAAGCTACGTGACTAGGCTGTTCGGCGTCATCATTGGTCAGGAAAGCAAACAACAACCAACAACCAATGACGTGTGGCCCACGGCCCTTTTCTTTTCCGGGGGATTAGTGGGGTTGGGTGACTCCTTAGCTTGTGACTTCGCCACATCCGCGACCACGTGATGAAAGCTCGCGGCCATTTCTCGGAGGCAGGGTGGTTGACGTTATATGCTGTAACACAACGCCTCAGTCGCCACATATGGCTATAACGCACAGGATCAAGCCCGCCATAGGGCTAAGGAAGAAGTTACGGGACGCATACGCCAAAATCAACCGCGATGAACTGATAACTTTCGTCAAGGACCACGTACCTGATAGACAGCATTAACGCACTTGGAAGTTGAAGGACCTAAGCGAAACGGGCACCTCGCGGAGGCACAGGCCTCATCAGACTGGACTATTGTTGCAGTGACAAAACCATGCATAATTTTCCTCACGTTCGGCCGCTTTAATTACCTAACAACACAACAAGATGGCAGTGTAAAGTGGATCGAAATAAATGGTGCTGGGTTTGGTTACGAACTAGACGGTGGCAATCAGATACTGCTGCACACAACAACAGCTGTCGTTAAATATAGAGACTGAAATTCAAATCCTCGTCCCAGAACTGGTCTCCGGTATTTGGCGATGTATGTGTCGAAATCGGGTCATTGTTGTTAGTCGTAGAGGTTAACCTTGCGACACCCTGAGGCTTTAGGACCAGTTCTTCTTTTGGGCATGGGAAGCTGCGGAGTAACATGGTTAGTCACGTGGTTACGCAACACCATGAGCTCCACGCCTAAGGCCAGTATTGTGCCCCTCACCAAATGCCCCGCGACGAAGCTTGAATAAAATATATATCTGCTGATCGTGGGCAGCATAAATGCTTCCGCCGCCTAAGACACGGCGAAGGTTAGAAAACTGCCAAAACCTTCCTGATGAGTCCAGCAGTTCAGATCTCCAAGCTTGACGCGAGAGAGGAGGAGTACTTGCGCAACTTGCTAAATTACACTGAGGAACACCCCGAAGGATGGACCCTGAAGTCTAACAGTACGCATGAGTACTCCCACGATGACATTCCACCCATTATTCAGCCTATCATTCAGAAAGTACGTTCATTATTCCATATTGGTGATGTGATCTGACATGACCTCAAAGGATAAAAAAAAAATCCTCATTCGCATCACCGGAGACTCGAGAAATTTATGGTATTACTTCGATATTGGCGATCTGATACCAATTGCGGGCGAGCGATACACAATATCTGATGGGCAGGGCAATATCCAGCTTGAGCTCGGCGAGAAAGGGCATATTGTACAGAGAGTCGGTGTGCAAGTTCAGGAAAATTGTACATTATACCTACTCTGGGTAGTCAACATGAAGTAAATTTCTTTCAGCCGTGTCCCCCACCGGGTGGTACAACATGACCAATAAACTGTTGTGGATGTTCATTAATGTGGCATCGATTGCGCAGAGGTTCAGATCCTGCATTGCCGCCTGAGTCGTTCGCATATCCTTCGCTAGAGTGGTGCATCTCCTGCGGCATGAGACCAATAGAAGTGTTATGGTGTATGGAGACGCCGGCCTGGAAAGCAGCCTGTGGCATGAGAACGGCGGGAGAGTTAGACATCCCAGTAAAGCCGGTGTAACAACTGGGGTCCATAGAGACACCAGCCTGAGAGCCAGTCTGATAAGCACCCGGAGACATCCCAGTAAAGCCGGTGTAACAGCTAGGATCCATAGAGACACCAGCCTGAGAGCCAGTCTGATAAGCAGCCGGAGACATCCTAGTAAAGCCGGTGTAACAGTTGGGGTCCATAGAGACACCAGCCTGAGAGCTAGTCTGATAAGCATCCGGAGACATCCCAGTAAAGCCGGTGTAACAGCCGGGGTCCATAGAGATGCCGGCCTGGCAAGCAGTCTGGAAAGCATCTGGTGTCATGAGACTGGTGGAAGAGTTGGGATCCGTGGAGACGTCAGTTTCTGGCGGGCGATTGATGAGAGAGTCGGGATGGGGAGTCATGATGCTAGCAAAGGGTTGAGTATGAGCCGACTCATGGGTAGGCTGTTTCTGCGCGGCGTGGTGATATGTTTGCGAGGGCTGACGAGTAGCGAGAATCTTTAACATCCCAGCCGCCTCCTTAGTAGTCATTTGTGTTCGGTTTGGTTCCAACGTGATATCGTTTCGCGTGAATATGCGACCGTGGTCACCTTCGTTAGGCCAGACCAGTGAGTGCTGATAGTCCAGTAACTTATTTGCCAAGTCACAGGTGTCATATTGCGTTGGAGGGCTCAAGATATCGATAGAATGGAGGTGTTGTATAATGGCCTCTTTGCCTCTTTGAAAAAGGCCGTCGTTGGTGTCAAATCTATAACGATTAGTTTATGTTTGGGCTTGAAATAAAAGCACATACATAGAATCAGGTATGCTTTCATGGAAAAATATCCCAAGTGCGCTTCTGAAGCGTTCATTTTCGTCCGTAGCGTTACTTGTTGCATCTTCATCGTTTGTTTGGTTGATAAAACGCGATTCGGCAGGGAGACGAGTTGCCAGGAGCTGACAGAACGAAATTCGGCGTTGTCCAGCTTTAGTAATAGCAAGAAGAGCTGTGGTCTCGTCGTCAGAGCCATCACATTCCATGAACCTCAAAAAGTCACGGACATGGGTAGTCCTTATAGATTGTATTTCAGGTTTCCAACGCCGAAAGTGCAGGTATAAAGCAACCGTTATGAACCTCCATAAGATCTTGTAAGTTGAATATTTATTGTAGAGTTGAATGGCGGAGTCTGTGAAGAATTTGCGGTATGCTATAGTTGAGTTGCGTGGCCGTTGCTTCAACTGCGACTCGTCCGCGGCTGGTGACCAGAAGGTCTGTGGATTCTGATCCCACAGGCGAAACAGGTCGAGAGTTGACTCGTTCAACTGCAAGTGTGGGCGTTCGATTGACCTGATTGCTGAAACGTTGATAGCATCCAGCCTCCTTCCCCGCACTTGACTGAACTTGGTTGAGAGCGACTCGAACCACCTTCGAAGAGTTTGGTGATTCGCCTTGTCGCCAAGGATCACATCCACGTTATCCTCGTCGTTGTAGGGCTGTAACAAGCACCTAAGCTCTTGGATCAATAGTTTGTTTGCTTTGCAGCGCTTTTCACGGTGGCGAGGACTCGTCTTTGCTCTGCCCATCACCATTGTGATAAACCGGTGTGAAGATGGTGAGTCTGGGAAAAGCTCCTGAGAGCTTACCTGAGAGCTCACCCTTGACCAAGAGGTCTGCGGGGTAAGGTAACACCACGAACGCCACTGCGGACCGGCGCTAACCTAAAAATCAAAAAAGTGCTGTGCGCACAGCACTTTTTTGATTTTTAGGTTAGCGCGTCTTAGATGCATATTGTGTCGCAACAATCTCCTCTTCAATAAGGAATAAGATAGTTTATCCTTTAAGCACCGTCACTTATTGAAATGTATTTAAACTGTGTCCAGGTAGATGATAAAGAGTCAAATGTAAAGACCACACCGCTCTTCGGGATACGGCCTATCAGCGCAATGCAGCCCATCGGCGTAACTGAGTACAGTCCTGCCCTCACTGTATCTGGCCTCGAAGTGGCTCACATTGGTCTTTGCCTTGTTCGCGCTCACTACTCCCCTAAGCAATTTTCGCAAAAAAGACTCTATCTCCTTCGAGCCGCTCTTGTCATTTACCCTATCGTATCAGTCGCATTGATCTCGGCGTTCTTTTCCACGCGTCGCATACCGAACACCCCACTGTCAAACGTGGTATTCTACACATGGGAGCTTATTAGTGGGCAATGCCTCACGGCAGAAATTGTAAGATATACTAAATCTTTGGTGAGAAAGTGCTAATCACCAGCTTAGGTTTATCTCTGGCTTTCTATACTTCCATTTCAGGGTGTTAGGAAATACGCTATCATGGCATGTGCCTTCCTCCTTAACACCACTGTTCCGGCTTTAGGGATATGGTGCTTTGTGACTACGCAAAGGCAGTGGCTTTGGATATCCATTACACTCAACAGTGGAGGCTTCGCACTGACAGGTCATTATCTCACCAATGATGCGGCTCTAGCTCATGTGCGCTATCGACAACACTGGCTTTGGCTCGCCCTGCTCTCCGGGGTTGGCCTTGTGCTCGGGCTTGTGGCTGCTTTTGTGCCAACTGAAAAGGCGCCCACTCTACAACATGTACAGTACTTCTCTCAATCATTGATTGGCCTTTCTTTCAGCTGTATCATCCAGGTCATGGGTGGAGTATCTGCACACCGGTCACGGAGGCAGGCCAAGGAGGCAGGTCAAGCTCCGCGGGACGGAAATACATTCCAACTCGGGCAGTCCCGTCAGAGTCTGATTTCAAAGCGTGTGGACCTGGAAGACATCACCACTGGAGATCTTAAAAGCGTGCTACCGGAGGAGCGGCTGAATGTACCGGTGAGGACTGAGGGAGGCGAGCCACGGCCAGACCATGGTCTAGAAGAAGACATCACTACTGGGGATCTTGAAAGCCTGCCACCGGAGGAGGGGCTGGATGTACTGGTGAAGACCGAGGGAGGCGAGCCACGGCCCGAGCCACGGCCAGACAGTACAGCGCTGCCAGACTTCTACTTGTTCTAAAGTAATTGGTTTATATTTAATACAACTTTATATGTACTCATACTCCTTTTTTTTAATAGCGCACGTTAAAAAGAAGATCACCGGCGACCTCTACATAATGTGCCGATGCTATGGAGACTTGCCAAAGTGAAAAGGTAATAGCTCCGTTGAAACTTTGATAACACCGACCACCGACCAGCCCCGTCATGGAGTCGCACAATTTGCATCAACTGCATCGAGTACACGGCCAAAGATGGAGCGACATAGGGTTTGGTTGCTCCGCTAATACTTCTGCGACGCTGGCAGTGGCGGCAGGCATTATCCAGCCTGCACAAGCACAAGCCCTGCAGAATATGTTGCTACTGTGTACTTGGTACCTTTTTGTCACAAGAAGGAGAAAGGATCTATTTCCACCTCAGACTGCGAGCCAGTTAAGACAAATATTAGTGGGATTTGATTTAAACTGTAGTAGTATTCATAAATACACCAGTAACACCCATTGCTTCTACTATTACCATAACTACCTACTGTGTGTGTTCTATACATTATGCATACCGTAAAACCCGGTATGGGTGTCGCTAGTGCTTTTAGTTAGTTTTAGTTACCTGGCGGGGTAAATCAGAACCGCTATTTCTGGCTCTCTAGGCAGCAGCCAAAATCCACCCCACTAAAATTATTATGTTACATACCCGCGACACCCATAACGGTTTTTGCGGTACCTATCACCTCTTAGGTACTGATCAGGATAGAGAGGTACTGTATCTTTTCTGCCTTTTATTTCCTGTACTAATAGTGAATAGGGTGCCAACATGATCAAGATAACGCTCTGGATAGGCCATGTTCACTCTGAGCTACAGGACGGCCTACCAAAATTCGGTACAGCACTCGCATTAAGCAATACTTATGCAGTATTCGCTACATCCTTCCACTGGGAGACATATTACGACTATGACCGAGCTACTATAACCAAAACTCGCGAAACCCTTGAGGGTTCTGAGAAGAAGTTTGGGAGCTTGAAGACGCAACTGGAGAGTGTCTCAACAGGTGCATACATTGGTATCCGCACAGGGACGGAGAGATTGATTCTTGCAAGGTCCGACGCCTGTATCAGAGCAGTTGTACAGTTGGGGCGCCTTTTGCGTTCAGCAGAGGAAGATGTATGTCTCGTCTCCTATGTAAAGGCCACTGTGTAGGCCAAGGAGAGCAACTGCCTCAACTGCATCACTGCATCACGTGGAATCTGTGCTGCCGTCTCAGGAGTAGGACAGTGTTTGTGGCTTTGACCAAAATGAGGGAACACTGGCTGGTGAAGGATACGTCGACGTTGAACTTGCAGCAAGCTAGTAGTCTCAGCCTTTAACTCAAAAAGTTATAAATGTTCGCTGCCCGTACAACCCCAGCACTATAATCATAGCCTGCCATCATGACTTCACAGATCACTCATAACTATGGCCTGTAAGTCATCGTAGCACTTTGCACAACGAAGGCTACTAAACGCTGGCCAGACACTAACGAAGACGAACCGGCTCAGCCCATCCAGAATCCAGCAGATCCCCAGCCAAAATATGCCGAGAAACAATACACTGCTCTCGCCCAGGGCATGCTCATTAATCTACGAAGGAACAAGGACTTAGTGGTCCAACCATGTTCAAACGATGACGAAGTTCCCCGAGACTTATTGCCGCTGCTTGACTCGAGCGACTGGCCTATTAATGGAATCGATGACCTCAGCGACAAGTTTCAAGCCCAGCTACGTGAGGACAGGGTGGTCGGGCTACCAGGTTGTTTCTTCCCACTGCAGCGCCATTACACGTATGACGAGCAAGCCAAAGCTGCAGCACCGAGCTTATGCTATCTAAGGGAAATTGGTATCATCTCGAAGATTGGACACTCTAATGAGGAGCGACTTAGAACTGTGGCTAAGGTCTGTGGAAGATTATGTTTTAAGAATACTTTTGAGCTGCCTGCCATTCTTGACGATACGATGTTGCCCGATCTGCTTAGCAAGTTCACAATCATGGAGGTAGCTCGCAATGGCCAGTCTTAAATAAGACATCTATCTATTACTACTACTCAGGCTGACCGTTTTAATACATATAAGGATACATAACTAGTCGCTCTCCTCTTAAAAGTCGTGTTCTGTTCTTATTACAACGGGGATACGTCGAATCTGCTTCCGAATTTGACTCTTCAGGGACAGACCTTGAGCACCACATTGGACCTGTCGACTTTTTAAAGTTGCTTGTCTCTAGTTCTTAAGGTGCCGCTCTTTTTCTGTGCTCAAAGCCCAGGCCGAGTGCACCCACGAATATGGCTGACAATTCTAAGCCCTGCTCAAAGCCCAGGCCGAGTGCACCACGAATATGGCTGACAATTCTAAGCCCCCTTGCGACTCATTCATGAAGCCTGCCAATACCGGACCTGAGACTGCTCCTGACTCGCCTACCAGTGACGACTACGTTGATGAGAGCGCTATTGATGATGACGACTCTTCGGATTGGGAGGACTCTGTGCAAGATAGCGGCGAATCGAGCGTTGACTTGAATCTCTTCCAACGCGTTGAGCCCAGGGCTGACCTGGTCTCCGGCCGTTCGCTCATCACTCATATGCTTGCGCAGACAGAGCAAGTGCCAAAAAGAACTTCAGCAACAAGCGTCCCACTCTGCCTCTGCTATTATAGCCCTGGGAGCCTCTCCTAATGATAAAGATGAAGGCCCTCCAATGATGAAGGGCGTGCGTCCTTCCAACATCGGACCTGTCATCGAGGTACCTCGCTCGAGCACCCAGCCTACTGTCGCGCAAGCAGTTTTATCACCGCAAACAACTCGCCGCAATATGTTTGTTACTGAGCTGACTGAGTCTCTTCGCCGCCATCTTCTCTGGGAGCGTCAGCAGAGAACCTCGACTGCCAATGCCGTGCTCAGGCGCCGCCATGCCTCCCACGATGTGGCCAACCTGAGGCAGTTTCCAGAAAAGCCCTGTCTGAAGCAGAGCGAGGACGCCAACGCACTTAGTTGGAATCAGCATTTAATTACGAACGCCTTTGACGGCTACCATTCTAGAGGCTGGTGATGCCCATGCATATCGTTTCTAAGCCACGAAAAGGGTCTTAATTGTGGCTGGTAGGAACAGCCATCTTCAGTACACAGAACGAATTATAATCCATTAGTGTAACGGGCAAGCCGCTTGCGCGGCGGCTGTGCCGCCGAGCTTCTAGAACCTTCTATTGGTTCGGAGCTATGAAAGTGTTGTGATGTTCTCATTTAGTTGATTTAGTTCCTTTCTTCTTCATCTTGATAGTAAACAGCATAGGAACTAGATAGTTGAATCAACTTACTAGCAACCCATCATAATTAGTTTCCGAGCCGGCTCGTTGGCGTACTATAGTGTAGCCCAATACCCACGAACAGTAAGTGCATATCAAAGTTTGCGATCTAGGGACCCATGCGCTATGCGCACCTCGAGTGCCAAACCTGGTCTTGCGTGGTTCAGCTAACCAATGTCCACCCTGCTTTCCTTAACGCACCCCATTACTGTGACTTGTAGGTGTTAGGTGATAGTGATAAGACATAGCACCCCTTCTCCCAGTGCAGCGTTGTACAGGCCTCCTGCCTCGAGCAGCCTCTGGTCAGTTAGTAATAAGCAGTCTTGCCGTCGCCTCGCCACTGACTGACCAATTTGGGCCTCTTTTCTTGACTTGCCAAGTTTGCCGTATTTCGCGTGCTTCCCATTGTCTCTCACGGAACATGCTTCCTTCTTCTACCTTATTCCATCAGGCGTCTATTGCAAACACTCATCATGATGTCAATCAAGCTGTTACTCAATGACGATACTAGCAGAACGACTGCCATGTCATATCCCGACTCTCAGTATCAACATCACAGCGGGGTACGGAGGTTTCCGCCATGAAATGCATCAGATCTGTCCTTGTGCCGGGGCTAACAGACTATAGCCTCCAAATAACGACCCAAGGATTGACGCCCGTCCTCATCTCCAGAGCAACGAGATGGTTGGAGCACCCGCCACCTTCACCGCAGTAACCGAAACGAGCACCGCGACAACGACGGCTCCCGAGGCGGCCAGGGATGAACGACCAAATAGACAAACGAGCCCAAGGGATGAATTCTGTCGGGCACTGGCAGTCAGCGGACTAGAGCAGCTTGAAGCCCCAGAGCCTGTGGAAAGGGAAGCGGCAACGCTGCTACCAACATTTCTCCCCGACGCACCGCTTTGCCCGTTGCTATGCCGGCCTTACACCCTGGATTCCGAAATTTGACTTATTCAAAGTCAATACCTGTGCTAGATGGTGGTACAGGATCCGCGAGGGCTAGGTTAAAACGTATACTTGGAAAGCCTAACATTCAATGTGCACACTGCAGTCATGCGCCATTTAAAGATGCGTCCTCCCTAAGAAAACATACAGTTGCCGCGCACACGCGCCCGTTTCCCTGCGCATTCTACTTTGCAGGGTGTACCATCAACTTTGGATCTAAGAATGAGTGGAAACGCCATATTACCTCACAACACCTCTGCTTAGAGTACTATCGCTGCTCTAGCTGTTTAAAAACTACCGCAGATAGAAAGGATATCGAGTTTAATCGGAAGGATCTATTCACGCAGCACCTTCGGCGCATGCACGGTCCTTTCAACAGAGCCCTCACCAAAGGGAATAATGATCAAAAACAGTCAGAATGGGAGAGCTATATTAAGGGCATGCAGCAGAATTGCCTCGTGACGCGAAGGCGTCCACCGCAGCAATCTAGCTGCCCGAAACCCGGCTGTGTGAATACCTTTGACGGCCCGACTGCCTGGGACGAATGGGCAACGCACGTCGGTCGGCACATGGAAAACGGCGAAGGTGATGATCTTGGCGTCAATGACTGGCTTCAGTGCTATGCACTCGAGGAAGGCATTATCGAGAAGGATGGCAAAGGGTACAAACTTCGTAAGAGTCAGTTACAGGAAGGTGAACCTTGATGGTTGCCGTAAGGAAAGGGGATGAGGAACAAAGTGCGAGCGTGATAGACACCACAGATAGCCTCACTTGGGCCTTAAGTGAGTAGCTGAGAGAACAGAGAAGCGACCTGATCACCTAAATGTCCTACTAAGAAGTCCTACTATGGTAATAATGAATAAAGTCGTAGGTGGGCCTTAGCAATTTTCATCTCTAGAAACACTCTATCTAGCCTAATTGACATCCTCTCTCTTTCTCCCTCCCTCTCCATATGCTGAGTCTGACGTCAAAGGCAGGTGAGTATGTCAGTGCTCCCGCCTTTTTTTATTCCGGCTGAGCAGACACGAGCGTCTTTAATGCCAACATCTCCAATTGAATCCCTTGCATGGCTATCTACCTCGTCGGTCCCGAGCAAGCAAGCATGCCTCGGATTCTTTCCGAGATCTGTGACGGTGCATGGACCGAGCTTCTGTGTCGAGGCAAAATGTAGAAGAAGTAAATGACGAATTTAACATACTTGCTAAAGTCATCCCACTAGTAGTACTGGTACGTTGCTTGGAAGCACTGAAATGGTCTGCTTTCTTCTCGACCTTAGTCTGCGGACGCTTCCCCGCAGCTGGGGTAGAATCGGGTGAATGAGCCTCGCTTCGCTGCTCTGCAGACTTGATGCATTCTCGAGGTATTTTTTGTGAGATTAGTTCCGTCTCGAGTTCCTGGATTCGTTGCTCTAGTTCGTGAATCCGTTGCTCCTTTAAGGCTTTCTGTTGCTCTAGTTCGCGGATCCGTTGCTTTAGCTCAGAAGATTGTCGCTTCTTTGATTGTTTGCACTCTTCGCTGCGCTTAACGCATTCACCACATGGTCTGGAAACTGTACACTTTAGGCATTGGTTAGCCTTAATAGTCCGCTGCTGTCTTTATGCTAAACTCACTTTTGCTTTCCTTCGACGGCAGGCGTCGCACGCGGCCGAAACAGGTCTCCGTTTCTCAGGAAGCTTTGCTATAGGAAAAGAGACTTGGGGGGCATCTGACTTCGGAGCCAGTAGTGGCCGATTGTTGCCCATGTGTACAGAATAGTTTTAATAAATTATGATTGCAGGTAGGTATGTCGGAAAGTGTTCTCTAGGGGTCATGCTATTGACAGCCGCTCTGGTGATGACTGCGACGGTGACTGTCCCTGAGGTCGTTGCGTCTGCCGCAAAGTGATGATAGAGTCTCCGGGGGGGGGGGGGAGGCACTAGGTGTCTGAACAAGCGACTAGAATAATCTCAAAATATATTGGGGAGGGTAAGGAAAAGACTCACGAAAATCAGGGATACGAAATTACGTGCCTAAAGAGTGGTCAGCCACGACAGGCAGACGAGTTGAATGTAAGGCTTGGGCTATTAGGGGAGCCCAGCCGCCTCTGTGAAGTGACCACATGAGTGGATGTTGTTTGTCTTTGTCCTCTCCTCCTTTGTTGACTTAAATTGTCCCAACTGGTCGCGGGTCGCCTGTAGGATTCTGACTAGCTTGGTGGCTGGAAAAATGTGCAAGGGGAGGGGGGTAGGGGGGGTGGTTGAAGAGATGAATATCACAAGAAACAGTATCTGTGAGTGATCCTCGATGTGGAGTGACCAGCCGGGTATGGCCCCCGACCCGGGCTGGTACAACGGCTGCACCCAGACCACGCCACTCAGTACAGCAGGATCCCGGGTGACAAGTGGTACCACCGACCAACCTGGTCGCGCCCAGTTCCCTGTGCAGCGGTGCAGGGCTTGCTAGGACCCTCGTCCTCCTCGTCCCCCTCGTCTTTTGTGACATCTTAAGGCGACCCACCACTCGCGCATAAATTGGTGAATGTCTGGGAATTTGACTAGGATGCTAAACAATGCGACGCGTAAATGGTGGCGCTTTTTTTTACCCGGCCGTAGGCGCGAAGAATCGTTTCTTGAATTGCTAAGTTTCATCGCGAGAGAGATAGCTACAACAGTACGAAAATAGGCGCCTTAGGTGTGAGGTCATTAATTCCCTTGAGCGTTAGGTGATTAGTGTGGACAGTCCGCTGTCACGTGTACGCCGCCCCTCATCTTCCCCTCTAAGTTACATTCTAGATGCTGCCTTAGGTAGATATGGTTATGGCACAAACGAGATATAAAAATGGTCGAAGTCAATAAAGCCAACAAAGAGACTGTGGACAACGAAACCTTAAGAGTAGCCGCATACCCGACACGATGGTACGTATTATTGCTTTCTCCAGAGCTGCGCGCTAACTGGATCGCTAGACCTTTAAACCCGAAGACCTATCCGATGCCGAGGAGAAAACAATCCAGTGGAGTGCAAATGACGCCAGAGTCTACTTTGGAAACGAAAAGATGATCTATTGGAGGAATGCTACAGTTTCGGACGCAAATGGACAAACACAATACCCTGAAAGGAAAGGGAAGGGAATTTTGAAGAAAGGAGAAGCCTTGTATGTATACGGTGGCGAAATCCACCAGGAGACGTGATACTATACCGGACTCTGCAGGCAATCGCGTATGTTTTGACCTGCAGTTATGCTAGTAGCGATGCTGAGTTCACCTCTCTCCTTTGCCATAACTATTCGGACACCAGATGTACAGAATTTCATCCCGCTCATCAACTCGAGACGTCGACCAGGCGCACCATCGACGTATTCCAGAGTTTTGGGGCCAAGAGCGTTGGCTATTGCGTCGCGAGTAAATGCCGTCCACTGGATTTCTCCGGTCACAGTCATGGTGGCCCCGTAGATGCCAGAACGAGGTGGCCCATTATCCATGCGATAAACTAAAATACCAGTGAGTTGTTGCGCCAGGCGCTGTGTCGCAGTCAGATCCAGATGGAATGTTATGAAGCAGCCAACTTGAGCTACCTCTGGAAAGATCATGGTAATGTTGTGTCCATCGCAACTTTTGGTTGCATGAGTAAAGGTATAGCCAAAACATTCTGTGATACCTTGGCTTGACCATTTCACATGAAATTTCGTGGTCTCTGTGGCGGATGGTTCCAGTGGCGCGGCAATTGCAGGAGAGGAACAAAGGTTTTCTTGCTCCGTCGATGGAAATGTCGTGTTCTCGAGGCTCTTAATAGTCATCTCTTCTCCATGCACGGGAACTGCATCCGGAGCTGACGCGGCGCTTTCCGAAGCGTTCTCTCTAGATTTATCTGGAAGGGCCATTAGCTAAAGATATCATATCAAGACTGTAGAGTCGGTATGGAGCAGCTACCGTCTACTTGTTTTGCTCGATCGAATAGCAATTTATTTTGCTCATTCTCCAGCCATAAATGAAGTTTTTTAATGTCTCCACTTCGCATATGGCTAATCCAGTCTTTTCGGATAAAAATATCACATAGTTTTCGAATTGTCTCGTTGCAGTTTTCCTTCACTCGTTGTCGGAACTTGGGGTACTTCTGCGCTCTCCACCACGCGTTAGGCACAGGGGCTTGTGGCTTAGTAGCGGCAGGTAACTCGGTGGTGGCAGCTTGCGACAACTCTAAATCGTAGCAATCGTCCAACGTACTCTTGTTTTTGGTAAGGGAGTGGATGTTAACGATGAAAGAGTTGATGTGAGCTCTGAGCAGCTCGATGACATCATCTGCTACCTTTCGTGTGCCTCGTGGCATAACGATGATCGAACGACGATAGAAGACAACTGGGACGAGGCGGACGAGGAGGACAGGGAGGAAGGGGAGGATGGGCGGGGAAAGAGGAGGACGAGGGGGACGAGGGGGACGAAAGTTAGTAAGCGACAGGGGCGGATTCAGCTCCGGCTGGTAGAGTATGCACCTCGGCCAGATAGGAATAGCTTGTATTCGTGGTTGATTGAACTACGCACGTTAACTCGCATGCACGGTAACACTGAGCTTTGAAGGAGTGAACTGAGTCGTGGCAATAACTCAATAGCGCTACGAGCGACTATTTATTTCTACTTGTTTACTTAGTTCTTTATGCTTGCTAGAGTAGTTACCGGGACGTGAGATTTAGATCTAAGACGGTATAGCGTAGGTATAACGGCTCACTCCACACTAACCTACGGAGGCATCGTCGAGTTAATGGTGGCTAACCTATGTACATAGATTGATCTACAACATACAGTGGCTAAAAAGATAGTACTTATACGGTGGTCTCTGTCTAGAAATCTCAAGGATAAATCTAGTAGCGTGGTTGTATGCTCTATTTAGGGAGCTCTATTTATTTTTACCTAGTGTAGATCGCTTTGCCGCCGAAGTATCTTATGCAGTAAGACCATCTGATTTGCTAGCATACTTGTAGAGCACTTATTCAGTATTGCCCTCTCACATCCAAAAAGATACGAGACACTGCTCATGCATCAATTGTGGCGCACTGCTAGTTTTAAAAGGGCTGGAACACTAACTAGCTTTTGTCGTCCCCAGTAAACCAGATCATGCCTCTACACTAAATAGGACACATTCCGCCGGGCGGAAATAGCTGCGCGAGGCATGCAGCTACTGACATCTAGCTCTAAACGCCCTGTTGACGAACCACTCGAGATCAATAGACCCTGCACGTCCTCTACCACAATCAGCAGGACCTGTCACTACCTTCTTTTCCCGCGCTCATGTCCATCTGATTCAGGATTAACTCCACTTCTTATTTGACCCTGCTGCCTTGCTTTCGCCGCATACATTCATCGAACCGCCTCGGGCTAGACTCCTTGAGAAACTGCCCTGTCTTGCACTCCTCCTTCTCCCTCACGTCCACTGCCCTGTCTTGCACTCCTCCTTCTCCCTCACGTCCACTGCCCTGTCTTGCACTCCTCCTTCTCCCTCACGTCCACTGCCCTGTCTTGCACTCCTCCTTCTCCCTCACGTCCACTGCCCTGTCTTGCACTCCTCCTTCTCCCTCACGTCCACTGCCCTGTCTTGCACTCCTCCTTCTCCCTCACGTCCACTGCCCTGTCTTGCACTCCTCCTTCTCCCTCACGTCCACTGCCCTGTCTTGCACTCCTCCTTCTCCCTCACGTCCACTGCCCTGTCTTGCACTCCTCCTTCTCCCTCACGTCCACTGCCCTGTCTTGCACTCCTCCTTCTCCCTCACGTCCACTGCCCTGTCTTGCACTCCTCCTTCTCCCTCACGTCCACTGCCCTGTCTTGCACTCCTCCTTCTCCCTCACGTCCACTGCCCTGTCTTGCACTCCTCCTTCTCCCTCACGTCCACTGCCCTGTCTTGCACTCCTCCTTCTCCCTCACGTCCACTGCCTCTTTTCTTCCTTCATGTATCATCAAACAGCCTACAACAAGTCCTATTCCGGTGTATGACACACCAGAACCTCTGTGTCCCTGATTAGTTACTAAAATCCTTTTTAACTCCAATGTCTCGTCAAACATCGCCGTATTCACAAAGGCGAGGACCAATACATATGCTCCTGCGACGGCTGCCCTGATGAACTCTGCTGCACGACAGCCACGGTCGATGACCAGAACCCCCCGCGCGACCTCTCCGCCGACGTTATGGAAAAGACTCCTCGCGACCCTACGCAGGCTGCCATGTCTGGGCCTGTCTCCGCCGTCCCAACCGAACTGCCCACGCCTCAGGATGTCGGCTTCTTTTCCGGTCCCGGCCAGCACAAATATCAATTCAACATGCAAGACGTCGGCTCTCCTGATTCGCAGCAATATGCCATTACCCGGCACAGCCAACTCATTCAGCGCACTTCCTCCGCTGCTGAGCTCGGCGATCCAGGCGCTACTGCCATAAGCACCAACCTCCAGAGCAGCACCGTCCTGGCGGCCGTATTCAACCACGGCATAGTCACACCAGGTCAAAGCCCTGCGAGTTACGACGGCTTCATCGACGAGGATATCGTGAGCATGCTCATGTTTTCAGATACGTGGAACACACACTCAGGTAGGTCTCTCAGATCTACCTGTGCAAACTCATGGTCCCTTTTCTATGAGACTGATCCTTGCGTGCAGATTTCGCTCTACCATCGCAGCTCCTGCCACCACAATCGCCTCCGCGACCTCAAACCAACCCATTTGATGACTGTAGTGGCTTATTTGGCCACGATTCCCCTTTGCCAAAATTTCCTCGGCCAGCAGATGGTGAAGTCAATAGTTATGTCAAATTCAATTGGCCTCGACCACCGCTGCAGCGCCAATGCCCTGCACCACAGGCCTCTACCAGTACTCTCTTGGCAGGAAGCAGTTCAACCTATCGAAGATCATCAAACCTGCCGCCGTCCCAAATCGGCGCATCTCTTCCATCACCAGCAAGAAGCTTCCGATCATGTTATCAGAATGATATCACAACGGTCCCGCAACTCCTCCTGCCACAATTCGGGCATAATGCTCGGATGGACTCCACGGACAGAAAGCTGTTCCAATTTTGTAAGTTCTGCTTTCGACATATCTCACTAGAAATCCGTTCTAACTCTTTACCTTTGAGACACCCACAATTGGTGCCCGGGAAGAAGTTTGTTGAAGAAGACCAACCCGTGGCTCTTCGCTAGCATGCTATGCATTCTGAGTGTTAGAATGGCCATGCAGTCCCTCGCTGGTGTGTATGTTCATGATTATATGCCACTTGACGCTATACGGCATCGAGCCAACGAAGGATTTGCCTTCGCCGTAGCCAGGCTCAGCGAGCTGCTCCAGGATATGCACGATCTGAGCGACAGCGAATCAAGCGAGCTAGTCACCTTGATGTCATTGCTCTGTGTGCAAGATGTGATTCTCACGGAACGCAGGCTCCCAAACCCCCACCCCCCTCGCTGGTTGACGGGATTCAGAAAGGCAGAGGAGGTGCTGCGGTTGACAGTCCCGGAGTCGAATGTCCAGGTATCTGCTTTACGCGTATCGCAATCAGTCATCGTTGCTAGAGCTGTCATTCTGGCTCAGGTGATGATGCCCCTCCCACATCCCGCCACTTTCGACTTTACTGCCGGATCACGCAGATTCGTGTTCCTCTTACATGAGTCTGGGGCAGACATGTTTGAAGTCCACGGTGGATGTGGTTTCTCGAAGCGCCTGCTACACATCTTTAGCCAGGTAGCTGACTGTTCCACTCGCATGCTACAAGACGGCGAAACGCCTATTGTGCCTGTGACTGCGGAGATGCTCCACGAGCAGCTTGTGCAAATATGTCAATGGAGTAGAGAATGCGAAAGCTGGAGCCATACCAAAAGTAGTCACCAGCCGATTGAATGGATTCGCCAGACGGACAAGAGCTACGTTGTCCAAGAAGCGAAATAGATGATCCAGGTGACGGCGGAAGCGTGGAGACTGGCGGGAATGGTCTATCTACACTGCCGTCTTCTTAGGTCTGTGGTCTTGGGGTCTGCCTCTTGCATCAAAACATGCTAACTATGGATTAGACTCCCGCGAAACAACCACATGGTTATTAGCGTCATAGCAGACTTGGCCAAGTGCGTCTCTATTATACCAACTTCGGGCTTTACGTTCACAGCCAATGCCCCGCTGCTACCAGTCTTCTTGCTCGGGCTGCTCGCCACTGTCGAAGAGCGTGTTAAAGTGGCAAATGTTTGGTTTGAGCAGGTTATAAGAGCCCCTGTTCGCAGCGTAAGTTTGAACTTCACAAGAGAGAAATATTCTTAATTGCATTCTAGTTGCTGATTTACTTCCTACGGCAGAGCGTGCCGCCACTCTACGAAGCACTCAATCGTATTCAGAGCTGGATGGACCGAGAAGTTCCAGTGCCTGCGCCAAACGTGGAATCGCCCTGTACAATTGCCGAGAGATACCCCTGGTGGGAGCTTATGGTGCATCATGTTCAAAAACGGGAGGGCGAAGTCCTCTGCGTAACATAGGAACGTGCTCGCGGTACGAAGTGGCAGAGCTCTACTTTGATGAAAGAGTTATTACGACGTCCGTATACTACCGACGAATGCGTGATCATAGGCCCCGGATATAGAAAAGCAATTGAAGTCTTTCCTATGAAAGAACCTACTAGAGCAGGGCTTGTGCATGTTCGGCGTTGGATAAATCCGACTTTTAAAGATACCTAGAAAGAGCATCTCTTGGTTAGCGATTTGAAGTCAAAACTACAGTGCGGACAGGAAATAATACGCAAACCAGTCAACAGAGCAGATCAGTGACAACGCTAGGCTAAGCCCACAAGAATGCTTGACTTGCCTAGCAGCTGTGCGCGCAAACACATCCGACCTTGGCTACTAATAACCTAGGGACATACGCGAGCCGGTCCAGCCAGCAGTTTGGGTGGTGCTTTACTCACGGTGAGTGACCTTATAGCCTGTTCGAAGCTTCGTCTCCGCTACTAAGTGTGGCAGCACCCTCCTCGTAGCACACCCCTCCGACGAAGTGGCACCAGCCAACTTCAACCACCCCGTTGCAGGGCTTCCACCGGCGACGGAAACGACGGCTCCGTGCGGCGCACATGCATATACACAATGGTTGTCCCTCGCTAGCAATGTTTTATGGCAACATGCTGTCATTATAAGTGAGACGTTGGTGGAGCATGGCATGCACATTACCATTGCCTACACATCGATGCCAATATGCACACCCATGGCGATCTCCACTTGGTCCGTGGAGCCACTCTGTCTTGTTTCCTCGATTGAGGTCTCACCCAAACCGGCAAAAGCCCCACACCAGTGTAGTTGTCGTAATAGCCATGAAATTGATAAATAGCTGATGCTTCCCTGTCTGTTTCTTCTGTGCATACTGGTGGGTGAGCCATATTATACAAACCAGAAAACAAAGAAAATAAAGAAGCTGCCCTGAGTTGCTATGCGGCTGGCCGTGCTTGCTTGGGTGAGTATGGCATTTTCGACAGCAATGATCTCGCAAAAATTGAGTACGTCCCGTATGTCGCCGACTCCAAGAACGTGTGGAAGCTGTCGACGGAGCAGTATATCTTTCTACAAATAGAGTGGCTCGGCAGCTCTCTGCACAATACTCCGCACGTATTGCACTCTCCGCCGTGTACCTTTGGGCATCCCTACAACAAGGTCTTCGACTACCAAACGTCGATCAAATTGGCACTTGTTGAGGCAATTGCCTACCAACACGGCTCCTCTCTAAGTCTAAAAAGGTCGTGGATAACTGCTGGGCTTCTATTCAGCTTCATGGGTGAGAATACTGGGAAACGACGCCGAGTATGATGAGAGCTAAACGACAGCAGTCAAGCGACGTCTGATTTCAGAGACAAGAGGTACCTAAATACTATTTGGACGAGCATCATCTTGATACAGTACGTTGGAGTAGACTGGCCCGATTACCCATAGCTGAACTCTACTGCAGCAATGAGCCCCTATTCCCTTATCGACGCTCAGATTTCGGCGCGATTTTATCGGCGATTGACGGACTCCCACTTCCAGAACCAATCCATCTATACAAACGCGCTCACGAATTAAAAGGACACGCAAAGCTACGTCAATTCCAAGAAGTCGAACGTATTCCCTTTAACATCGACAACTCGAAGGCGATCTACGAATATATGAGCCAATCATTTGACCGATTAGGAGCATACACTTCACGCGCGAAAGAAAATAAGAACAGTCATGCCTCAATCATGCTCTTGATTGAGGATAGCGATCAAAAAGTATACGATAAAACCGTATACGATTTGATGGCGGACGTTTCCCACCTAGGCAGGCATCTGGATGCCAGTCACGCGAAGCGCATTCGCCGACGGTAGGCTTTTCACCTCCCCTAAGAATGTCTAAAGTAGAACCGAAAAAAGATTAATTTTAATCTCTAGGGAGTTACTTGTGCTAAAAATCTTTCTGAGATTATTCCCGCGAACCTGGCTCACGGGACAAGCCTTTTACGCACGGATACTCGTCATCCAAGCGGATATAGCCAGGAGTGACGCCGACTGTTTTGCTGCTACGCGTGGCAGCACCTGCGAGCTAGATTTAGAAGAATCGAAAAATACCATACGGCCCAGACGACTGTCCAATCCCCAGCTCCCACGAGGCGTGCTCAACCCAATCAATTCGCCGCGGCGGAGATGATAGGGGCAATGCATTCAGCGACGGCGAGAGGGACATGTTGTTTAAGGAGGAGCCCTTGCGCACTCCAGAAAGAATCGGAGTCGTGGCTCCCCGCCAGCGCGTGCATTTTATGGTCGAACTTGACAAGGCATTTCCCAAACTCCACTCAAATACTCGAAAGCTTCTGCAAGATGCTCAGGAAGACTTGGCCAAGTTGGGTCAGTCCCTACAGACCAAATAGATCCCGCAATAGTGAGTAGCCGTTGGCTTATTAAAATCGCCTTCTATATGTCTTCCGATCGAACCTGTTCATCTTGATAGGAAACAGACGGAATGGAGAGCGGCAAACCATTTGCGATATGTGGGAAGGTGTTTCGAGCTCAGTACTCGACGTACTACCCGTGCAGTACGCTCTTCGAGGAAATTCCCGGCCATCTTGCCTACACATAGGAAGAGTCTTTGTAGCAAGGGTACCATTCTTTACTTATACATGTCAATCTCGTCTCCGCTGATTTATCGGCAGCCTGCGGGTGTCTTTTACATTCGACTAATAATTGTTATTATTCTCAGCCTAAATTCCGTCTGAAACAGTCTCAGCTAACTTGCAATTCACGGCCGGGGTAGCGGCTTGTGTCCTCGCCGAGGCAGCGCTGTAATATCCACACGCCATAGTCAAGGAGCACTCAGCTCTGATGTACGAATATTGTTTATTTAGGTTAACTTCTTTATTTTTAAACCAGTTTTATTAAACGCATACAATAGCACTTCGCGCATACAACAGCATTTCGAATAACGCATTTGCGTTTTGCGAAGCACCACTGGCATCAATACCCACACACAATACGTCCTTTTGACAACTGCTCCTCTGGCACGTATCACAGACACTATGCAGCCGACGTGGGGCTACTTCAATGAATTATTCATGGTCCCTAGCTGTGCTATTCGCCATGCAAGGGTTTGATATGAGTATTGTGCTGGGTCGACGAAGAGACTCCGTCAGCTTCCCTGTAGCGACGCCACCTTTGTTATGATCCCCATAATAGACTCACTGGTGACTGGTCTCCGCATCTCGTCTCTGACACAGAAGCTCGGTCCACGCATTTTCGTAGATCTTGCACAGAATTTGAGGCATTTCTTTCAAACATGCTTGTGCTGGCAAGTGTGTAGGCGCCGATTCTCTCTGTGGCCGTCCTTCGGGCCCTCCCTCAAGGTTGCCGCCGCCCCCCAACCCTTCCCCCCTAGGTTCAGCGATGCCCCTACTCGTTCTCCCGTTGCTCGGGTTCCGCCATGACCCTATTTTGATGTTGCTCTGTGTTTCTTTCGCGTAACTGTTATGTTACCAATCTAAGGTACAAATTGAGGGTTGGTGACAGGACACCATTATTCGAGGGCAAGCGTTCCCAACCTACTCGCTGTCCACTCCGCGCTCTTGCCTGAGTAAATGAACAGTCAGCTATCTGATCCATTCCAAACTATTGCGTGTTCACCTTTTGACACCAATGAAAGCAGCTGTCTTCGACTGTCGCCAACCTAAGTAGCCATTGCGTCAGATGTTTGAGTTGCCGTTCCACGAGCGGGGACGTAACCGCATGCGTGACCAGGAACGCCAGCACAGCCCGCCCCCCTCAGGATAGCGCTTTTGCCCGACGAAGGAGCTCGCATGCCTTGCACCGCTCTAGTGGGTTACTGTCATGTTGCAGGGGCGGGAAGGCCTGAGTGGCTGGTGTTTCCTCTTGTCTCGTACAATCGAGGCATACAGTTGCGGTGTATGCTTGACTCTGTTGCAAGGCAGCCATAGGGTGCTTTTCGTCGATTTATACCCTGGTTGGCTGTCCTTCTGTGGTTCGCAAAGGCAACCACGGGGGAGTCGACCCTGTCGTCACGTCCGGCCATTCTATATCAACCAGAACCGCTCGCCTTAAGACTTTCAAGAGAAATCAACGGGGCATCTGTCTTTCAAATTCAATATTGCTGAAGTCCAAGGATGTCCGCCAGGTCAGTCTCAATCCATCTCACGTTAGCGTGTCATCACTCCAAGCCGTTACCGCCAGTCGAACAGCCAACCAGAAGATGACATCTGCATAGCCTGACACTTCCACCTCTTCTCCTAGATCCATGAAGACACGCTCACCACCCTCATCCGAGGCCCCAGCCGCATCACCCCCCACTACGCCTGTCCACTCTCATCACCATAGCGGTGTAGACAGTGACTTCGATCATGGTGACGTCACGAACCTGGCCGGTCAACAACTTTGGAATCCTCCCGACGAGTCAAACTCAATTGGCAACCGCAATAGTGCATCATTGAGGCTCTTCCCGATCGCCGAAGTACACCCTTCCGACCTTACCACAATCCCCAGCTGGAAGCCTTATCGCCAGCTTGAAACCAAGCCTATCTCGTATGAGAAGCTTGTCAATGAGGTCACAGGCATCTATGAAGGCTTGATAGGGGTTGAATTCAAATGTATTCAACTGACCGTTGATCCGAAAACCCGGATCCCAGATGATCAAGAGCTCGATTCGAAGCAGCTCCAAAATTTGATTGGACTACATCGCACGCTGCTAAATGAGCATCACGATTTCTTTCTCCTTTCTCGCCAGCTCATCTCCGTCTGCGTCCTTCCGTGCGCCACCTTCCCAGGAAGCACAATATGCCTGGACGGATGTGGCGCTACGGCATTCAATTATTCCTCGAGCTCCTCCGCAAGAGATTGCCCGGCTCTCGCGAACATATGCTCACGTTCCTCGCCATTGCATACGGAACCATGACTCTGCAACACGAAACTATCCCTGAATTTGCTGATTCCTGGCTCGAATATCTCGGGCATCTGGCCAGATACCGCATGGCTATTGAACAGAACGCTCTCGAACGCGAAATTTGGACGTCGGCATCTCGATCCTGGTACTCAAAGGGCTCGGAGCTGTTGCCAGAGGTTGGCCGGATGTATCACCACCTAGGTTTACTTGCGAAGCCAGATCATCTGAGGGAACTGTACTACTACAGCAAGTCATTATGCGTTCCGGTGCCTTTTCCAGGCGCTTGGGACAGCATCATGTCGACTTTCATCCCAATCCTGAGAAAGCCTATTTATCCAGATCCCTCAGATAGCCCGTCTGACCTATTCGATGAGCTGTTTGTGAGAGTCAATGCTATTCTCCTTTCTGGACTCCAGCGCGACCAACTCGAGGAGACAGTAGCAAGGTTTCTTGTTACGTTGGATAGGAGCATCGCTCTGCGGAGCAAGGGCTGGCTCCAATCAGGGTGAGTGGCAATTTGCCTTTGTTACTGAATTTGACTAATTTGATGCTCAATAGACACTGCACTGCCATTTCTCTCATCTGTTCTCTTGTCGGCTACGGCGCGCCTTCCAATCCCCTTCAGCAATCACTACCCCAACCTGTCGCAGGTGATGCAAACGGTTCGCTAGGTAACAAGAAGGACATCGACGAGGATACGGCCAAGAAAAAGTTTGAAACGACGCGAACATTCGTCATGCAGACTTGCAATATTGTTTTGCGACGCAAATCGGACCCTAACTGTCTCCCATTCTCTCATACAGTATTGGTCTTTTTGTATTACGTGGCTCAGCACCCGAAAGCCATGTCGCTTATTGAGGACGAGTTCCCATGGACCCGAGTGGCCGATCTGCTCAACGAAGCCTATCCTGCACTGATGTCGGCGCCGAGAATGGCAGACAAAAACTTCCCGCGACCACCTGCCAACGAGCCGTTACGCCCACTACCAGAAGACTACGGCATGCGAGGGTTCGCACTGTCGAAGGACTACTTCCTAAGGATTGGTTCTCGAGCGAGCAAATTGAAGATGAGGAGAAGATGTTTGAGCCGCCGTCGCTTGGGGATGAGAGACGGCAACGTGTGCTCTGGCTTGGGCGTCGAATCTGCGAATTGGGAAATTGGCTCAAGTGGGACGAAAAAAAATGTCTGTTCACTGTCAACTCGGCGCATGACAGAGACATTGGCCTGCCTGCTGAAACTTGATTGTTTCGATGCGATGCCGGTTTACTAACTCATGTGCAGAGATAGTCTTTGGTGGGGAATTCTAGGCCCAAGATGGCTTGCAGAACGGAGATCTCTCCTGTTGATTGATCGCCACAAACTACTCTTCGCGGAAGGTGAACATATTGACTGAGGTTGCCGCTGTGAGTAGAACCATTTCCGCGGCGAGGGCTGTAATGTCTTCTCTAGACTATTGATAGAGAAGTTAATTTATTCGTTGGCCATATTCATTCTTTTCTGCCGAAGTCTACTGAGCCTAGGCGGAATATGTACAGAGTTACAACTTACCATAGTCTAATCTTGTTGAAGGACTGAACTGCGGTGATCTTGCCCAAGCTTATTTTCCTGACTTCCAACACCGCCTCATCCCACCGGCCTTGGTTCCCATACGCCAATGCCAAATTGGCCATGCTAGTCAGCGTGGAGGGATGGTCTTCCGCAAGCTTCTTCTCGCGAGTTTCCACCACCTGTACCTCAAGCCTCTCTGCGTTCTCCCACCGGCCCTGGTTTCTGTTGTGGACGGTGATCATACCAGAGGAGAAGACGGTTTTATCTGGCGAAGACACTATTTCGCAGCCTCAACCTCATTCTCATTCAGCAACTTGCCTGCCTGGCGATCATACATGGCTTTCAGAAGAATGAGATGATCTCCAATTTCGGGCCAATCAGTTGCCGACCGGCAGTCCCCCCGAGATTTAATGGTAGATTGGGTTGTCGAACTGTATAGATGTAGGGGGTCATAGCGTCCGAGGTTTTTTCCGTTAAGACGAGTGTAAGTACATCCGCAATACCATTTGGGTATTGCTCACTCGCAAGATACGGTTGGTGGCAAAATGCAGTGGGCGCGCGATACCAGTCCCATCGGTCTGGATCTCGAGGCTCGTCTCTCCATCGGTAATATTCTTCTCGGGTGTGGCAGGACTCTTCCAACTGAAATAAATGCACTACTATCCGGTGGCATGACACGGCCAGAAGCTTGGTGAGTCTCAACGAGAAGCCCCTTCTACTAGACAACTCCTCAACGATGACGATGACTTGACAGATGGGATTGGGAGGATAGTGGTCAAAGGACCACTTCGACCCCGTTGCAAAGAATCTGCAGGTGCGCAAACGCTGAAGAAGCTACGATAATTCGCCAGCAGCGATGCGCCAATTGAGTCAAGGAAATCTTTGGACAACCTACGGCCTGGTTGCGATTAAACGATCTATACGTACAAGATTCGGCTCAACAACGGAGACAGACGATGCTTCCGGGTTCATCGTACCGCGTCGAAGGCACCGCCGACAGCAAGCTACGGCGCAAGCCTGGACGAGCTTGGCGAGCGCAAGGTGAAGGAATACCATACGACCAAAGCGTCCAGAAGGGTGGATACCGTGAATGGCAATTTATGGCATGAGGCAGGAAAAAGCCCCGTCTAGACTACGGGACCTGAAGCGGAGATGATGCTCGCGACGCCACAGGCAGACAGGGTCGAGGTAGCTCTAAAAGGCTCCAGGCTTTACAAAATCAAGCTAGATGATGGACTTGCCTATGTTTGCTTGGTCGAGGGGTATGAGACGGTCTTATACGGGCAAGATGTGAAAAAGCTAGAGGACAGTTAGCTGCTGGGAGGAAGTGATCCTGCTTCGATCGCCGCCGACGGAGAGTCTGTATCCGCGATACCATGGAAGGCTAGAGAGCGCGCGAAAACTGTGACTCCCTGCACACTGAGAGCAGGATATTACAGGGGCACTGAAAAGCTTTTATAGAGACGTCAACTCCGTTTTACGTCGGAATCTCTCCACCGCAGCCGCCTCCTCGAGTGGGAAGACTGCCTACACGAAGGCACACCCCTCCCTTCTTCCATCATTCATCGCAGTGAAAGCGGACCATTAGCAGATTGCGTCTTCCTGATTCAGTTCTAACAGACATGGCAATTTGCCGGCGACTAGAAAACACTGCATCGGCCTGACGAGGCTGTGCATGTACTGAAGCAGGATTGCTTCGCTGATCCTGGCACCTACAAGCCGCCACATATCGCACACAACCTTTTTGCGGCTTCTGCGGCCCTGTATGGTACGATCTGGCTAGAGTGCTGCCGCTCAGCTGGCCCATTTCATTGACAACGAGTTGGCACCCTTCACCCTGTCTCCCCATCGGTACTTCTGCTCAGAAGTTCATCTCCCGCCATGGGTCGCCAATCTCCCCAGCTGCGAAAAACATTCAATGTAGTCAGACTGGGGTGCGAACGGCAGCGCACCGACTCGCGGAGAACAATGCCCTGATGGGTCTTGTTCAGTCCACGGCTGCACAGCACTGACATCTGTATAAGTACGGAGATCAACTCTCCTAGCCCGAATATGGCATCTGTCGTTGGCTTGCGACTCTTCCTCGTCATTTCTTCCATTCGCAAACTACCGAGTGATTAAGACTCTCATACAAAACACGTACAAGATCGCCATGGCAGGTATGCATAAGGCTGTCACTTTGCCTTCGTTCGAGGAGAGCTTTGGCCAGTCTCCCGTTCGTCGCCTTTCTATCTCGAGTCTCTGCACTCCTGCTCCCAACTCAACCCCAAGCCACCCCAGGCATCGACTTCTAGATCAGAGGCCTCTGCCTAATGGCGTTATCCCTCCCCGGCCTAGGCGCGAGATCCACGCGAAAACTGTTTCTGTACGTTTGCTGAGCCTGTTTTCTGATTGCGAGTTGCTAAATAAAAGTCCCTATAGTTTCTTCTCCAGGAACTTCTCAACTTTGTCCATAAACCTCTACCCAATGACAACGAGTTCATCGACGCAATTGCCAAGACCAGTTACATCAAGGACTACCTCGAACAAAGCTACTGGGTCAAGCACAATGTGGCGCGTCGCGTAAGTCTGTTCGAATCAGCTCCATCTTCATAACTAACAGATATGCAGCACGCTGCTATTCGCGGCTCCTGCCACCATTGTGGCAGTAGTAACACTCCCGAATGGCGGCGTGGTCCCAATGGCCGACAGACCTTATGCAACGCCTGCGGTCTGCGGTATGCCAAAGCTAGAGCGCAAGCGCGAGCGAGGTCAGCAACCGCGACCTCATTCAAAGGAAGCAAGTTGGAAACGTGACGGCAACATCGGCGGATATGATTACAACAGCACTCCAGGGTGAGGTGGAACCGACATTGCATAATTCAGCTAGACGATAGCGCAGACCAAATACATGTAGAGCATTTTACAACCACATATACTTAACATGTGTAAGAGCCCTGTCTCAAATTAGGTCTACTGAATGCGCTTTCTGGGACGCTGAAGGCTTCACGGGACATCCGTTCGATTCCGGGCAGGTCGCTTCCGTCTGATTTTGCAGAGCCATGTTTCATTACGCATTTTCTAGTGGCGCTCCCGGTTGTGACGCTGACACCTGCCAGCCAATCACATTTCCTGCCTTTCGCATCGTCGACGCCGAATGTGTGAGTTATCGCATCCATCTTCCGGTCGCGACCGTGCTGGACGCAGCCTTTGAGCGCTGCGTGGTGGAGCCTCAATCACGCCTACGGCATGGGAGGTCGAAGGAAGGCCTCTCGCGTAGAAACGCTATACAGGAAGCGGCCCTGGAATAGTGAACGTTTGTGACTTCTGGCAGTCCAACTCTACTCGTCTTCATCTCTGGAGTATTAATACCATACAATACGGGTGATCGATTTTCTACCAGCACCGCCAGCGACTCTGTCGCGGAAAAGGTTTCTCGTGTTGATATCACAACTCGTCATACTTATCCAACGGGACCGCTCTCACAACAAGAAATCCATGGTAAGGTTGCTTTTTTGCAGGCTGTTCGCCATGAAAGTTTCTAACTGGTATTACAGCACGCTACACACAGATCAGACGTATTGTACCTGTGACTGCGGAGATGCTCTACGAGCAGCTTGTGCAAATGCATCAATGGAGTAGAGAATGCGAAAGCTGGAACCCTACTAAAAGTAGTTACCAGCCGATTGCATGGATTTGCCAGACGGACAAGAGCTACGTTGTCCAAGAAGCGAAACAGATGATCGAGGTGACGAGAGAAGCGGAGACTGGCGGCAATGGTCTATCTACAGTGCGCGTCTTCTTAGGTCTGTGGTCTTGGGGTCTGTCTCTTGCATCAAAACATGCTACCCATCGATTTGACTCCCGCGAAACAACCACATAGTTATAGGCAAGATAGCAGACTTGGCCAAGTGCGTCTCTATTATGCCAACTCCGGGTTTTCCGTTCACAGCCAATGCCCAGCTACTCTCTGCCTATTGCCATGCAAGTCATCTAGAGAGCCGTGTTCAGAAGGTGTGCGAACGGCGTTGTATAAAGAGAGAAAAAATGCAAAGGTAGAAACGAGAATGCTGTATTGCTCAGGAAAGTACTAGCGACTGCATTTGATATATACACAACGCACTTACCATTCTCCGACACGACACCATCGATCCCCATCCAAACCTGCCGGCCGACCAGGAGAGATTACATAGAGCATATTACTTGCCTCAGGCATGAGTACCGCAAAAAGCACAGGACAAATCATCAACCGAGATACAGCATGAAGTCGGCATCGCCACCAAATGGAGCATCGGCACCGTAGGGTCGCATATCCAGTGCAAGACTGGTCTTGTCCCTGCATGCGTGAGTTATCAATGTCGGAATCTGATCAGATCCACCGCAGTACATGAGCCGGATCAATGAGTAACCTGCGGACTCAATTCGAACGGCTGCAGGGCGAATACCATCCATAATGTATCGTCCCGTATGGAATGAACTAAAAAGTGCTGCAACCTTGGCGTTGGGTTCGGCTTCGAGAATATCCACGATGCGCTTGGTCATATATGCTTCTCGTTGCTCTTCATCGGGTGTGCGGCGTTGGTCAACATCAGCAAGAATGATCATAATACCATGGGCGCTAAGCTCGTCACACAGACGCTTGTAATCGGGTGATGACGGCATCTTATTGAACTCGATTGCAAAGTGCGTTACACCAGCCTTTTTCAGGGCGGCGGCGTTGTGGCACAGATGAACACGAACAGGCTTGTTCCAGAGATTCTGGCCGAAAAAAACCACCTGCTTGTCATCGCAAAGGTTGGTATAATCAATCGTTGTATGTATTCTATTTCTCACGCACCCTCAAGATTGGTTATGACACGTATGAGTGACTCCGGGTTCCTTCCACATTGTTTTTCAGCTGCCTCACGTCCTGCAAGCTACTTTGAAGTGCAACCAAGTTTCAGTCCCAAAGGAGCAAATCGTGTCCGTGTGACTTTTTATAACCATAATCTTCGCTATCTCGACATTCAACCAGACGCAAGCATCTGTGATTAGTCCAATCTCTCCACAAGATTTCCCATGACTGCCACCGAGAGCTCTGGGTGCGTAGCGAATAGCTCCCGGAACGCCAAATTCGTCCACAGCTTCCTGAATTGGCATGCAGCGTACGCACTCACCAACTCTCGCAGAACGGGCCGCTCATCCGCCTCATAGCAGAATTGCAATAAAGCAACGATATCAGAAATCCTTGTCTTGTGCAGCGTAAAGTTACAGAGGATCTCATGCAACTTGTGGAGGGCTAATGTGGCTAGTGGCTGGATGAGGTAGTAGTCAGCCATCACATGGACTCGTGCATGCGAAAGGAATACTTCTGCATATTCCTTTGTTTTGTTGTTGAGATTCTTCAGAGTAGGAGATGGGGTGGGAGGAGCACATAGGTACGTCCGTGTTGTGGTGAAGTGCTCCCATGCGTGTTCTGCTCTCTGCGGGGGAGAGACTCCCCAATCCCACTCCGACACAGCTTTCTTCTTCTTAGCCTTCTTCGCCTTTATTGACCGCCAAAAGTCGTCATCCGAAATGTTCTCTTCTGCGGGCAGCGCCTCGACAGCAGGAGAGGCGTCGCTTCCCTCAACTGGTCCCTTGGTCGCCGGTGGCGTCGGTGAAGCGGGTGGTTCGAAGGGTGCGGCACCATCATAGTCTCCCGTATAAACATACTGGCCGAATCGGATAAAAGTGTCCTCCGAGACATCTTCCCAAACCGTACAGCCATTAATCGCCTCCTTCATCTGCCCATATACAAGAGTATCGAGTGTTGGAGACTGGGAGGCAAGCAGCGAAGTATGGATGTAAAATTCCAGCTTTTTCGGCCCAACAAGAAAGCGAAAGGGCTTGGTAACCAAGATTCTGTTTGCTTGATACATTAGCACTCGGCTAAAGCACTGACGCTGTTACCATCTCGTAAACTTACGTGTTATATGGGATCTGTGCCATGATGTAGTGCAGGATGGTTTTCAGTAGAGCACCGCGTCTTTGACGACTGTGAAGCAGAAACGACGGAGGAGAAGGAGAAGGTCCGAGAAAGGAGTGACGTGACAGAGTGATTCAGCGGACCGTCTTGTAGCCGATCGCATGCATGTTTGTGATTGCCCCGCGCAGCCACGCATGGGACTGGATTCTGTCGGGCTCGTGGCTGTGTCGATCATGGCGATACTTCCACACATCTCCGTGATCGGTATTGTTTGGTGCAAAAACAGCTTCAGCTCCCACTCTATCTTTCAAATTTAGCGTGCGCTGTAACAGCTAAAAACGAGCGGCTATTAGTTGGGTGTTTACAGGCCATCACGGTAAGCAGAAGGGTCCTTAGGCTGGTGGGTCTTTTTTTTTTTAACAGTGTAATTAAGGAGATGAATCTAATTGTGCACCAAACAATAACGTCTCTGTGGTCTTTGGCGTGTCCAGCTCGACAAAGGAAAGCAATACCAGATGTGTCCTTATGAGACCCCTTGCGGAGCGGTGGGTATGATTGCTGACATGGATCTGAATTCCATGAAGCCACTAACGATTATCGAGCTGGTCATGAACTCGCTGCGCAATGGCGCGCTCAGCGTAGGACAAAACGTAACGAATGGGCAAGCAGGAAGCTGCTGCTCCGTTAGAAGAACTAGCCACCAACCGGCCGGTCAAGCGGCTGCGGGGCAAGAAGGCACCAAAAAGGCGCCAATTTACTAGAAACGACAGTGGGACATGGCACCGCCCGCAAGCCACCAACGTCGCCCGTCACCATACTGGTGCCAGACACCGTGTGGTATCCCGAGTCGGCGCAGAGCCCGACATGGCTCAGCGCAGCCCCTCACGTCAGCCGGTGGAGGCCGGGCATCAAAGTCTGGGATCAATCGTGGCCCACCACGAACTGATACAAACCGTAAGATCGGAGACCGGTTGCTGGCACATTTGTCACCACGCAAACTACAGCCTATGACCACCAATGACTATTTCCTGCCCGGTAGGAGCTCCTTGGCCCACTGGGCGGCTAGCACAAACGTAACGTGAGGGATGGCAAATAGGAGAGCTGCGACAAATTCGCTGCAGTTAGTAGGCGAACATAGAGGATAGTCCGCTGCCTGCTAAGCAGCCTGAGAAGAGCAAGCTCTTGGGAACCAGGGAGTGAGGGGGGGCAAGGGTATTTCGAAGAATCGAGGTGTTACGAACGGTCAAGGGTGACACAGGGCGGCCCAAGGAGGAGGCCAGGCAGGACGCCTGCAGGACGCCCGATCAAGAAAGGAAGTCACGTGACCACGGTAGGAAACGAGGAAGATTCTTGGGATTCCGTCGGTGTAGTGTTGTGTGATTCGCAGGTTAAAGAAGATGCCAGTGTGCACAATCTGGCCGCAATCTTCAAGGGGCACAACCAATGTTAGTCAGCCAACAGGGGAAACGGGCGGAAACCGCTTTTTCAGGCAGCACAGGCATTGTAGAGTACAGCGGTGGGGCTTGCAGCCCCGCTGTGACGCCTTGCGCCACCATTGTGCCTTCCGGGGGCGTTCCGTCTCTGGCCGTGGCACAAGCTCTGGAAAGCCCCAGTCATATCCACCCCAACAGAAACCCGCAACGGTGCGCCGCCGTCATCTCACTCCGGGGAAGCTGGCACGAAGCGCTCGGCAGGAGTCGGGATGCCGCGACCGATGTATTCTCTGGAGGTATCCTGCCCCCTGTCTCGTACCTTGACGCGAAATCCGAGCCAGATACAAGCCCACACGAGAGCAGGATCCCCGGATGCCCCGGATGCTTTGGCATAGAATTGTACACTGTGCATCCACCAGATCGTCTTATGAGCAGCTCTATATTTTGAGTACGCGCCAGAGGCTTCTCATTAGATGCGTTGGCAGAAGCAGGGGTTGAACAGCCAGCGACGGTCAGCATGCGTCCTTGCAGCCACTGCGGCTCTTTAGCTAGCACCCTCCAGTTTCCACGTTCTATGAAGTGGCTCTAGGTGAACTTGAGCACCGAAACTGTTCCTAGTATTTTGTCATTATAGGTATATGCCTGGACATCAGGATTGGCTATTCGGTCACTTCTTTTGCTAAGCGCTGGACAAGAGTGGAGGGCAGCCGCCAGCAACGCGCCCGTATTAGCGACAGCAACCTACCCACCGTAGTGTTGTCCACTGCTGATGTGTAAACGAGCCACTGATTTCTGAAGCAAAAAGGGGGGAAATATCTGGATCAACCGATAGAAAATGGTTAAAAAATTCCTCCTGGACGATCTAGTACCGTTTCCCGAAGATGCATGCGCGGCCATGGCATTACAAGTTCCTCTACCGCTGGAATGTCAGAGAGGCGGCCCTTTGCGGCTACGGCCCCGGCGCTTCTCGGCCGCTTCCGGGTTTCACCTCGACCTCGGAAGAGGAACGTAGGTCTTGCCGGGACTACTGCAACGCCAGGGTAATGTCAATCCTACACACGGGGCACTTCGGCGCCGGCTTGGTGCTTTTCGCTTCCCACCCTCCCCAACAACTCCTGCAAAAGATGTGGCCTGCGATCAGCAGCCTGGAGGGGAGCGACCAACAAAAGACGGCCTATCGCATGGCGTACAATACCGTAAAAACCGTTATGGGTGTCGCGGGTTTCTAACATAATAATTTTAGTGGAGTGTATTTTGGCTGCTGCCACAGAGCCAGAAACAGCGGTTCTGATTTACCCCGCCAGGTAACTAAAATTAACTAAAAGCTCTAGCGACACCCATAACGGTTATTACGGTATACAAAGATCGTTCGTGTAATCACAAACGGCGCATTGTGTCCAGTCGTACTGCTTCACGAATGTATTCTAGCTCGGTTAGGATTCGGGTTTTCAGTCGATGTCCGCGTAGTCGATGTCATCGACCTGGTAGATGAGCCAGCGTTTTTTGGCGGTGCATGTTGCAGCAGTTCCACTCGTAGCATGAGCAGCGGCTTTCTGCTCCCCATGCATGCATTGGTTGCGGTGCCTGACGCTGGACTGGCATCAGCAGCGACTTTCTGCTGTTCGGACTGCTTACACTCGCTGCAGTTCCACTCTGGACATGAGCAGCGACTTTCCTCCCCCATCAACTCATGGTACATGTCACGAGTACCTGGTGGTGAGACTGGCATGAGCAGCGGCTTCTGCCACCCAACAACTTCTAGCACATGCTACGAACGCTGGCTACTGGGGTACCCTTAGCGTGGACTGGTAGCGTGCTACTCCACCATACCATGGAATACGCTGCGAGTGTAGTGCTGGACTGCCATCTGGTGTCTTTCTGCTGCACATGCTGTACACACCGTCTACTCAGCTCGACCATGGCGTGTGCGGTGGCTTTCCACGCCATTGACCCGTTGCAAGTGGGTGCTCCCACCTGCACTCCACCGGAAGTTAGCGCGGCAGCTTCGCGTGTCCAGTTCTTCATTGACTCGTTTTGCGCAAAAATTTGTGAGCTCAACATCTCACTTGTCCTACTGGCTAGCTGTTAGCCCTCAGCATGTTTACTCTGGCTGACCTGCTGAACCCGTCGCCGTCACAGAAAGAGCGAGCTCCCGATGCTATGATGGTTGAAGCGTACGCTAGCTGCGGTTGCCTGCCTACCCGACATCGCTAACCTTTCATAGTGATGCGTCAGCCAAGCCCGATCAAAACACAGCAAACGAACAGATACTGTCGAATGATGCAAAATCGCCAAAACATTCTGCGCAGACCAAGAAATCCGCGTCGCTGATTGGATCAGCAGTGTCGAGCAAGACTGAATCGTCGAGCGCACCAGCTTTGCCAAGCGATGTTAACACGCTTGCTGGTCTAAGCCAGCATGAATTGTCGCCGAGCAAGCAACCGCGAGCAGACAAATCTATTGCAAGGAGCAAGATTTACTACGATGGCCGCAAATGGGAGTACAAAGGCTACAAGTGGGTCAAACAGGGCATTCTGTCCTTGAAACTGATGCCCGTCGGATCGAACGAGATAATTGAGTTGGTCCACGAGAGAGACGTGCAACTTGATAATCAGAAGGGCCTTCTCAAGCTATGGAAGGGCATCCGCCGGCCTAAGCCCAAGAACAGAATGTACCAGCCACTGAAGATTCTTGGCGAAACAGAGGATGAGAAATTCGAAACGCAATGGACAGGTTTCGACGAGGAGTCGTACTCACTAGAGCCAGCATCAAAAATGCGGAAAGTCGCCCCGGATTTAGTGGAGGAGTACTACGCCAGGCAAAAGCAAGGCGAAGCGAGCCATGCCGTCAAACGTGGTGGAAAAAGCCCACTTAGGCGGCCACAGCTTCCACCAGGCCCAAGACGTAAACATGCACATCGTCCACGGCGGTAAAGGACCCTCGACAAGGCGGCAGATTGACCGGCACAGGGTTGCTACTGCCGCAGTAGTCGACCAGACCCGCTGGAATATGTATGGGTTTGGTGGGAGCTGTCAGCCGCCAGAATTCAGCTCTGCCTTCACACACACGCAAGCAGGCAGCTGTCAAGGTCATCTTCGTATGGGCCCCGTCTGCACCTAAACAGGCCATGGTCACAATGTACCTCCTTATCGAGTCGCCGGGCTCTGCACGGTCGAGCGGCCCTGGCGCTTTCACACCATGGCAAAAGATGCCGCCATAATCTGGTTCGCTTCTGAAAAAGGTGCGGCCGACTATAGTGCAGTGATGACTTTGTCTTCATCCTGTGACTTCTCTCAAGTGACGCTAATGAGGCACACATGTGTGTGTCGCAACTCCATTCCTAGAATGATGGCTTTGTGTAGACTTTGCTCATAGAGACCTGATCATATAGTAATACAAATTCTCTCGTTTCATGTCCTTACCAGGACAATATTTCAGTATTTTGCCTCCTCAGCCGCGCCGGGTTGGTCACCAGGCGGACGTTTCTCCCTCAGCAAGCGATCAAGCTGCTGCAAGACTCCGCTCTGGTCATTCAACGAAGCGCTTCGATACTGTATGACGAATCCCGCACTCGCATCGAATGTTTCCACAAATTTTCTCGGAACCAAGGCTCGGTACAGAAAGATCTCTGTCTTGCTCATGCCAATGACCCTCACCCACGCACTCAATTGGTTCGGTTCACCGCTCCTCAACATCTCCTGCGCCATCGCTACCATAATCAATGCTATTTGCGCGTCCTCTTCTGCTTTCTTGGGCTTGATGCGTCGTTGCTCCTCAGCGATCCGTCCTGTGGTTTCCTTCTTCTCTCCTTCGGCATTTTGTAGAAGAGCTATGATGTGCGTCTCCTTCCTGTTTTGCAGCTCGGCAAAGTCGGTATATGCTATTGCTGGATCTGCGTCTGAGTCTCGGAAGACGCCATCTGTAGCCACCATCGACGCGGCATGTCCATATCGTAGCTGAAGCTAAGTTGCACGTCTCTCTCGTGGACCAACTCAATTATCTCGTTCGATGCCCAGGTCCCAGCACACATGGTGAGCGCAAACTAGACGATGTACTGCCGCGCTAAACTGTCGCGCAACATCGCTGTTCGGCTAGCTTGAGCAGATGAGGAGTGAGCCTTGTGTCTGCTGGCAAAGGCGAAAGAGCGACCGAAGGCACGTTCCTCGAACGCAGCGGTTGGCTCAGGTTCTGCAAGTCAATTTTAAGAGTGCGCACTGAAAGAAAAACAATGAAAATGCCTCGGGAGTAGACGCCTGGTGTATATTTCAGAGAGTGATTCAGCCGGTGCCGGATAGGTCTGGCGCGTCGGAGTTGGGGAAAGGGAGCTGTCTACACTCTGGCACTGCGGGATCACCTAGAAAGTGGCGGTGAAAAGTGGAAGGCGGCTTGAGAGGCGAATGTCTTATTTTAGAAAGATTGTTGTATACAGGGAGCCAAACATAATATCATGCCTTTGTGCCACGTGCTTGTATGTCCTCGCACTGCTTTTATCAGTGCTGCTTCCCTTCAATAGCAGCTCAAGGGTCACTATGAAGTGCGCAGTTGGCAGTGGCTGGGGCGACGGAGCCGAAATATATAGGATTGAAATGTCATTTCAGTGCTAGTTTTTAGTCATTCAAGGGCCAGGAAATAAGAGTACGCGCGTCCAAGTGTTCCGTCGTCTTGTTTGGCGTATGTACAGCCTTCGCTCAGCCAATGAAGCCCCGACAATGTTTTGCGCCGCAGAAGCAACGCTGTTTTTCGGCCCCCGGAAACGTCTCGAAATTGTAGTCCAGCGTGAGCTCTTCGCCAGCCTTCACGTGCCGCTTGGCGAAGATGAACAAGCACGGCACCCCGGACACCACTCGCTTTTGCACAACACAGTTGGGGTCGCAGTGGTGATTTAAAAACCGAGCCTCGCTACCGATGCTGATCGCGTCGCAGGCCAAGCCCATATCCATGTGCATTACGTAATGCACCTTTGATTTTGGTACATTGAGCAGTAGCGCCTCCAGCACTCGCTCATAGCGATGACCTCGCCTGTGTATTGCGCCACGAAACGCTCTCGATCAATCGCCTCGTTGGTGAAGAGCCCGAATCCTTTGTCTCCCACTCGAAGCACCTTACACCGACTCTGACTTTCGGTAGCCAGACGGTTCGTGCAAAGCGATCCGATCCGGCAGTTTGTGTCGTCGCAGTCATAGCACATCGCGCGATTTTGGTACGACTGGCGGCAACCGTCGGCTTCGTCGCAGCTGCAGCAAGGCTTTTCGGAAAGCTTTTCGGGAAACGGCATCCGTCGCTCCAGCTTCTGCCGGGCCAGATTGGATATCCTGTTGCACGAAACTCGCGTGTACGGCGTCGGCTTTGCACTGTTCTCGCGATGGCGTACCTTTGTTGTGCTTGAAGTTGAACGCTGCCTGTGAAGCACCGCTCTTGGACTTTGTCGGAGATCCTCGATGCCAAATTTATTGTAGTCGAACAGCTCAACAAGACAGTATGTCTTCTGCCGGCGCTTGCGCAGAATGGTGTGAAGGATAGCTGACCGATTATGACATTCACGCGCGCAAGCTCCGTCGCGAACTTCGTCACAATCTATGATGATGGGATTTGTACGTGAGCCTGCTGCCATGACTGTCGGCTGCAGTCTTCGAGGTGAATGTAGTCGTCTGAGGTCAGCGCGTTTGAGATGGTGCAGCGGTTTGATGCGAAAAGTCCTGTCGCCTCACGCACCGGGAGAGGTGTCTGTGTATATACTCAGATCAGCCGTCGCCTTCGCATTGACTATTCTTCCAGCTCAATGGCTTCTCGCGCTGGGTGTCATCAATGCGACGGATGCATTCCCTTGCAAGCCTTGGCCTACAAGGGAAGCTGTGTCTGCTGCTCACGCTATGCATGACGGTCACCATCAATGCGGATCTTCTCACGCGATTGCTCATGCAGAGCTGCCAAAAGCACGGTGGCTAGCGGCCTCTTGAAAGGGGTACGCTCTCGATTGACACAAGCATTCTAAAGCCTGCGCTTTCTTTACAGAAAGAAGACTATCTACGACCATACGGCACATGAACCCCCAAAAGGACGGTGGCAAGAATGATGGCCAGCAAGCTCATCCCGGTGCGGGTACTGGCCAGCGGCGCGGTTGGCACTGGCGGCCTGGGCGCTGCCCAAGATGCCGAGGGTACCGACGAGGGAAAGGTAGTGACTAGAGAACTGTTCGCCGGCCACAGAGGCGTGCCAGAGGGCCCGGACGCGCGTGGCACGGTCTTGAAGCTGCAGTCTGCGGGGGGTGAGACGGTGGTCAGGTTTGCAGGGTTGTTCAAAAGCAGGAGGGAAGGCTGGCCAGGAGAAGAGGCGGACAGGGTAATATTTTCGTCCAGGTGGACGTCACTGTGTTTCCAGACCCCTGCGAAGCATGGTCAGAAGGATTGAACTGGGCCATAATGTCGCTACTTCGGTTTAGGCCGGAACGCTTTCTGTTTAGGGGCGACCTTCTTATGAGCGTCTCGCGACGGTCGAAATTGGCCGCGCAATGCTTCCCCTTCTCACGCCTCTCCGTCACCCATGCAGCCCGTAGCGTCATTCTAATCTGTCCGCAGGCTGCAAGCCGTTCTTTGTCAGGTTGGGCGCCGGCTGCAGCCGACGATTGAACGGGAGGCCCTCAAGGAAGAATCGCACCAAACGAAGAGACATCATGTTCCAAGGATACCATCCGCCAAACTTGAGCCGCGCTTCTGAATGCTGCGAGACGTAGAGAGGGCACTCTTAATAGGGCAGAGGCCCTTCGGATCTCTATCGGCCCATGGAGTTGAATAGCTCACACGGAACGTTTTACAACCTCTCGAGCATGGCCTTCAAAGTATTACCATGGCCACAATACACGCTTACGTGCGAGATGCGAAGGTACGAAGAGAAGCGACCTGCAATCACCACAGCACTTTTCAGAATAGCAGCGACCACATCTATAAATAAGTGTACCCAGCACGCACATGAGAAGAAGAGCCGATCTGTTGGTCTTTCCTTCCTGTTGCCAGGCGCGATGAGCCTCGTTTAGAAGCCCTTCACATCTCGACAGAATAATCTGATTCGGACGAGGTACAAGATGTTTCCATCTCTAAATCTGGCGTGGCTTCTGACTGAGGTACGGCTTCATGACCCTCTTCCAGTCGCAATCGAGTCAGTATATGGCAAATGGAGAGAATGACGTCTTTAGGCTCCTCGAGATCCAGCCACTTCGTACTAGATACGCGAATGCATGTGTCTTCTGGATGGTCTCGGACAAGGTCCAACTGCCGCATTCTCCGTGGGCGCGTTCAAGTATTCTTCGTCGTAGTGAGAGCCGAAGTCAAAATGGAAGAAACGGATAAACGTGCCATTGCAGATATATGAATAGACGCTATATCAAGCGAGCTGGTTAGCTGGAGAGTGGGCCCAAGTGGGGGGAGGCAGAAGGAAAGGTCGAACCCATCACGGAATAGTTCTGTAGTGCTATACTGCTTCCAGGTCGTGACAGCCTCTCCGACGACTTGAGCCAGAGCCTTGATAGTTAAAACAGGAAAATATCTTTCAGTACGGTCGTCATAAAAAAGATTCTGGGATGCCGGCTTACACTCACCCATGATGAGGGACGGGTGAAGGATTGTCCAGGAAGAGGACTCGAGAAACTTTGTACAGAGGCCGCCATCATCGGCGCCAACAATGGTTCTGCCAGCAATCACTGCCCTTCATATATGGCTCTCTGGGCGAAAGCAATACTCTTCCTGGGGGCGAGATTGTTCTAGGACCGAGTACAGAGACAGGGAGAAGAGTTCCTTAGCCAGCTCGGCCACAAGTAACTCTGGTTTGCGGGCGCGGGACTCGTTCTGGTCGTCGTCCAGAGGAACGCTAGCGCGACTACCGCTATATTCGGACGAAGACGGCCGCGCAGGGGATGAGGATTCCGGAATTGGAATCGTGGATGAGGGGACAAAACCGGGATAATGCGTGGCCTGCCTGTTACCAGCACTTTCGCGGGTGGAATATTTCCTGTCTTCATCTCGAACATCGGACCGAATTAATCTGGCCAGTGCGAGGCGGAAACGACCATCGGGGGAGCTGTACAAGGAAGATTCAGAGGCGGTGCGAAGTCCGGAAACACGTTCGCGAAGACGCTCAACCACGTTGAGATTAATTTGCTGAGAGGATGAGCTCGAGCGTTGGCAGATTGGACACGACTCTTCATGATTGTCGTCTAGGGACGATAGAAAACGTGTCTGCCAAGCTTTGGCGTCCTTGGTGACCCTGACGGCTTGCATTTCGTCAGAGCCCCATTTGCTGGCGGGTGCTCCCAATCTGTCACCAAGGTGCGACAGAACGTGAGGGCCGGACTGGGCGGCGAGTTGCGCAACATTTTCAGGAAACTTGGGATCGAGGGGCACGGCCATGACTTGGGTATGGGGGGGGACAAAAATAGGTCGAATACCTGGTACGGAGGCGGCGTGAGTCGTATCACAGAACTGAAGTACTTTTTCTTATCCCCACAGCCATGGAAATATGGACTTGTCGAGCTGCAACGTAAACAGTGCGGGGCAAGTTCTTTGCTGCCGCGATAAAGACGCGTTGTCACGTGGGCAATGGCCGACACGCCTCTAACAACCGGGCGGACGAGAACGTCTCCACCCTTGCCATCGGCATCGACAGACTGCAGCACGAGCGTCTACCCAGGATGCTTATTTACGACACAACGACCTAGGAGAGAATCCGGCAAAGGACACATCATGGAAGTCTCAGGCCTGTCATCGCGAGTTCACGAAGTGGTTGGGTCGAAGCGAAGGCTCAATTCCGAGGATGACACACCAGCGAAACGGAGACAACGTCCGCCATCCAACAGAAAAGGCGCTACTAGGCCGATGATCTCGGGTGAGCTCCTTTGGGGCCCCCCATATATCGAATCGCTATACTGCAGCGAGAAGGACAAGGACACATTTCGCATACATTTCAGGAGGAGGCGCACCGAGGCGGCGACGACTGGGGCAAAATCTCCGTGTCAAGCCTCGCGGCGAAGCATTGTGAAACAGCTGAAGCGCTATGGCAAGGCTAGGTCAAAAGCAATGGTAGCGCTGCTTGAATCGTCCGGATTGTGGCCACGAAGACCACGCCGGCCTGGACAAGAGCCTCAGCTGCACCTACGATATGGAGGTACTACGCTAGTGGTAGATGCAGATGGCATCTTCCAAGTCCCACCCAGAGGTTTGGTGGTAACTGTTGCCGATTTTGAGAAGATGGCAGACAGGAGGTTAGAACACCCCATGACCTTGCTACCAGAAGCCAAAGGAGAGAAGAAGGAATTCGGAGAACGTAGAGCTGAGGAGCACCATCGCATCCAACCCAAGAAAGCTGAAGAGGACACGCAGATAGCATTGATGATGGCAGCGATGGCGCAAGAAATGTTGAGAAGCGCTGACCGGAAGCAACGGGCCGACCGGAAGCAACCGGGCGCGTGGGCGAGGGTTATTGGCATTGGCGGGGGCAAGATCTACATGTACCGAAGCTGGGTTCCCAGACGATTCGTGGAAACGTTCAAAGCCGATAAGCGATTTGTTGTCGAGTATCGATGTATTTCGTTGGAGGACGAGGACAGAGTCATAGAGCAACTGGATTGCTTGCTCAAGGAGCGAAGTCCACCAAGTGTCCAGCCCGGCGCGGCTGCTGCGGCATAACATTGGAAATTTTAGATTTCTTGCCGTCGCCATGTATGCTACGGCTGAGCCTAAATGGTGTGCCAACCAAGCTTCGGTGATTGACAGTTTTTGCGAGTTTAGACACTAGTGATCAGAACTTGAGATAAGATTATTTGCATTAACTATGTGATGAGCGCCTCTCTGAGCAAAGTCTGTCTGACCTACCATTCCAGGACTGGAGTTGAGGTGTACACATGCGCGTCATGTGAACCAGAAACCGGCGTTCGAGATAAGTCCTTGGGACGCGGAGGGTGGCCACGGAGGCCGCTGCAGGCGTGCTGGTCGACAAAAAAAGCCATGCACATTTGATGAAATTGAGTTTTGCGAAATGTCATAGCCGCACGGCCGTCGGCAACCCCGCTTTGCCGAGGGCTGATCAAATAATTGCAGCACGTTTGCCGTGGTGTGCGAGCGCTGGGACAGCTCAATCATGACTGAGCGGGTAGCTCGATGTAGAGGTGAGTTGTGACCGTGCACGCACAAGCTTGTTCGGGGCGGGGATGGGGTGTCATACGAAATGGCATTGGAATCTGCGAAGAGCAGAGTTGAGTGCTGGTCCAGGCAAGGGAGTCGATCCGCACAGAGATGGGCCGCAGAAGGTCGTCAGGGTTATCGTGTTGTATGTAAGCCTTGCGGACAAGCTCATTTGCGCTGTTTGATCCGACAGGCTTGAGACATAACGACAGAATGCCTGGCTCAAGCCACTCATGACCTTCGTACTCCCATTTTCGGCTTTTATAATGAACCAGTTGTTTCGCATCGGTTGTTTTTTATTGTGGTCTTTCGCTTGTTGACGCTCCATGTCCACTTCGATGAGGAAGGGAGTTGGCGTTGCCTAGCAATGCTGGTTCGCCCGGCGGCATTGGTCCATTCGGCGATGCTGATCCATTTGGTCTTGGTGGTTCCTTGGGCTGTCCTGGATCGTTCGGCGACGCTGCCTCGTTCGGCGACGCTGCCTCGCTCGGACGTGCTGGCTCCGTCGACGAGAAATTCAAGATCCGGCTAAGCGACACCATCCTTGATGCCGAAATCCGAAATGCTCGTTTATCATTCAACCTTCTGGCTGCGACGGTCAGAATTTGGCATGTTGAAAGAGAACAATATGCGCCACGGCGCGTGTTGCGCAACTCTATGCCACCGCCCCATAAATCTGCCTGAGCACTCCTTCCACCAGAAGTCTGGCGCGTCACCTTCGCACCTCGGCGTGTGGTTGGTGTCTCCGCCCTTGCTTGTGCGTACCGCCCAGCACCTCGGGGTCGTGCCCGACGTGAAGTCACGGCTATTTTTCAAGTACACATCCCCGACCGGTACGAATGAGAAGCAAATTCCTGACGGTTTGCTCCGGCTCTAGAAGAATCCAGTGTGTCGCTTCATGCAGGTGTTGGACGTTGCTCAAGCGCAGTGTCGGGCTTAGCATGGTAATAAATGGCGACAGCTGTAAATGGCGGCAGCATCTGTAAATGGCAACAGCTGTAAATGGCAACAGCTGTAAATGGCAACAGCTGTGAATGGCAGCGGCATGAATGGTAGGCAGTAAATAGCATCAGCTGTAATTGGCTATGTAGTAAATGGCAACCGCAAATGGAAGTGACATGGGAAAAAGGCCTGTGTAGTTCATCTGGCGGGCTGGGGGCCAATTCTGGCAACAACCGGGCTACTGTGAGTGTCACTGACTCGTGGCGCAACACGCTACGCTATACTAGTGGCTTGTCCACTGACTGCACGCTTTTTTAATCTAGTTGTATTTAATCCGGCGATGCAATTATGAGACCAGTGACAATGTAACGCAATGATTACCTGCTAGCCATGATCACCAACGGCGCCAGCACTTCGCCCAAATTGCTTCTTTCCCACGAGCTACCAGCCTGGCGCAAAGATAACGAGTACCTTCTGTCTGGATATCGGTGACAATCTCCTGGCGCTGACATCAGGTTCAACACGCTAAACGTGATGCTAGACAAACATCTACATCGAAATGGCTCTCACTGGCATCCATGCTCTACCTCAACAACGAAACGGTGAACATATACTCTCACTTACTTGGTGCAATCATCTTTGCGCTACTTCCGATCCATTTCTATTGTCGAAATTTCTCTTTGCAGCACAATGCGCAAATGGGAGATTTAATCACTGTGTCGATATACTGCTACAGCGTGGCTTTGTGCTTCGGTCTATCCGCAACGTAAGCATTTGAGACCTGCAAAAAAGGCAGCTTCTAATTGTATCAAAGTTTTCATATTCTGTGCAATCACAGTTGCCGTGTACATTCATTCATTCATTCATTCATTCAGTTTATTACGCCCGGTGGAGAAGTCCAAGAGGGCAACTATAAGCCTATGCAATGTATCCAGTCTGAAGCTAAGCTGTTACTCAAAAAGCCCATGAGTCATGACATGAAATGTCTGCTCCTCATAGCTATTGCCTTTACTGTCGCGATTTCTCGTGAGCGGTATTTTCTGAGCGGACTTGCTTGAGGTCTTCTTCCCCAAGTGTTTAGTATCCTATTTTCGGCAGCTAAAGCGGTGTCTGCTGCATCAGGCACGAGATTGAACAGGCGGGCTATAGGTTAGGCGTGGGTGTTAGTGTTGCAATCTGTGCGTGGTGTTTGTTCTCAAGACGTCGCGTGGCCAGTGCAAAGCGGATCGCCGCTTGCACTGCCTTCATATTCGGTTTCCAATCTGGTCCATCTGACAGTCCCTTTCCTCCTAAAAAGAATGAAATGTTTCCTCTCTGAGTTTCAGTGCACTGATACATTTTTTTTCTGTGAGCTTCCCATCTTGGGCATCGGAAGAGGAAATGTGCCACCGTTTCCCGTTCACGGCCACATTCACACAGCATTGACGATACTGCCTTGATTCTGTACAGCGAGTTGTTCAGTCTTGACATGTCTGTCCTCAGCTGCGATAACGCACTACGCTCCGTCCATGGTCGGTTGTCATATAGCTCTCGAGTGTGCGCACCTGGGAGGGCTGCATCCACCTTCTTGGTGTGGTTGCCTACCCGATCCGGCAAACTCCTCTCAGTCTCGATTCTCTTTCTCTCGAGGTTGAGGGTAGTGGATTTCATAATAGAGGCCTGGCGACTGGGAATGGAGCCCTGCTTAGTCGCTTGCCTTGCCTCCCGCTTGGCCAACAGTAGGGTCTTGTCTTGGCTGGAGCTAGGAATCCAAACTACCAATATGTCATTTCCGTTTTTCCATAGCCGTTTGATGCTATTGTAGATAGAGCGGACATGTTCCTGACCGGAGTGTTGTCGGGGGGTGCGAAGAGTAAGGGCGACTGCCTGGTTAGTGGTTAGAAGTGCCACACGGCGGTGCCTGACATCAGGCATGCCGGTTAATGCGTGTGCCAATGTTGCCAGTTCTCCAAAGTATGGGTTTTGTTCGGCGCTCCATCCCACTGTGAGCGAAAAGGTGCCGCGTCGTGCCTCGCCGTCGCCGTTGGCCGTAACCTCGATCGCTCCGCCACCTCCCACCACGTCATTTCGTGCTGAGCTGCTCACAGCTATGCACATGTCCCAGCTTATTTCGGTGTCCTTGTTCGGCTTGTCATGTTTGATGCTTTGAATACGCTTCTCCCATGGTGCCAGAGTGAATGGTAGAATAGTTTCGATCTCCTGTAGGGGTACATTCTTCAGCCTGTATGCTACCTGGTGGAAAGGCGAGCGGTAGCCTCCGAAGTAGTGTTTTTGTATACGAGATGTAATTCTGTGAAGGCGGTTTGTCTGAGGCAGCGTATGAATATCGATCCACATCTTAGTCGCTCGTTTCCAAAACCTTTCTCCTGCACTCAATATGGAAGCCTCCGCTTCCGCGATGCTTGTTGCTACCGTGAGAAAAGTCCCGACAATTGCTTGCGCGCCCACTCGTTGAACACGGTTGATGGGGCCTACGTTTCTATCCTTGTAGGCGTGCATCCATATATTTGAGGCGTAGTCCACTGCTGGGGCCACTGTGGCGGAGAACAGTCGTCGAGCCGTTGCGGCTGTCAAACCCTTGAACCTTGTCAGCTCCAGTGCAGTCGCGAGACCTTTGGATGCTGCCCTTGCAATCTGCTGCTTGTACTTGAGTCGAGCATCCACGATCAACCCAAGAATCTTGACATGGTCCTTGGGGTAAATGATTTGATCCTTGATGATAAACGGGTCTGCGTTGAGTTTGCGTGCAGTCTTAGTGAAGTGAATGATCGCCGTCTTTTGAATGTCAAATGTCGCACCACTTCTACGCTCAAGTGTGGCGGCCCCTACATTCGCGCCCCCGTACACTCGCGCCCCCCGCTTAGTCAACAGCGACCGCTGTAAGTTGCCCCTGATAGAGCCCTTCCTCAGCGGCATAACGCACCACAATCCAGATCTCCGTAACAACCTCTCACCTCCTCTTTACCTCATTACCTCGTACGTCTCAATGCAATGGTGCCCAATACTCTATCTTTGCCTTCTTTTCAATGGTGGGACTCACGAGAAGACCTGCTTTCTCTATTGCAAATCTACGCAGCTGTCGAGGGCTATCGCTTTATTATTAGAAGATCTAAATGGGAATGTGGCCGGCAAAGCATTGTATATGCTTGCAGTCGATGGCGTGCAGGTTGCCAATTTTCGATATTGATCAAGGAAAAAAAATATGGTAATTGGGAATATGAATATCGATCTGAAGCGCGCTTTTCAACACACAACCACAAACTACAACCTATACGGCAGCCAGAAGACAGACCTCAAGACGAGCGGGAGACCGGACCCCTAGACGAGGCAAGGTCAGAGGACGTACTAGCAGACGGACTAGAAGACAACGCAGAGGACAAGCCCCAATGTAAACAAGAACAGCTACCAAAGAAGATACAGCCTACTTGTAGCAAGTGTCATATACAAGGTCATAAAAGGGGCGCAAAATGCTGCCCTTTGCGAGATAGAAGCAGCCCGTGAGATAGGCCAATTTACAGCGGGTTATGCAAAACTTACAGCGGGCGCTGTTGACTAAGCGGGGGGCGCGAGTGTACGGGGGCGCGAATGTAGGGGCCGCCCTCAAGTGTATATTGCTTAGGTAATATCTGCTTAGGTAATAACCAGCTGCATGGCTGCGATTGGTGCGGGCCACAGCCTTGTCATACTTCCCGTGACGACAAAAATGTGCAGGGCCAACACTAACTCCACAGCCACCTAGCCAAGTTCACCAACAAGCTCACAAACATTCTTCCAAAAGCGACATTTTCCAAACATGCAACCGCAAACAACAATTGCAATGTCTTCTCAAATTATGTTCGACGAGGATCCACTTGTGTGGCATTTTGCTATGCAAGGCGAAGCGGACGAAGCCTTGCTTGGCGATGATTCCGACCCGGAGCCCGCCGTTGATTTGCTCTATCTGCGCATCGCAGGCAGGCGCCCTGTTGTCTTGCTACGGGATACCGCCAAGGAGTTACTGGAAGACAAAGCGCCTGATAATGAAAGCAAGCGGGTTTCTGCACGACGTCGTGCAGAGGCGAGCCAGCTTCCGGATCGTTACATGCAGCTAAAGCATGACCTCATCAGCTCTTCCGCTGCTCCGTTTCGACGCGACATAGATGTGATTCTCTTTACACATGAGACGGATGCCGAATTCGTAAAGGAGATGAGCGGATACTACGGCACTCAGCTGGATGCTATCGGAAAGGTCATGTTTGAAGGCTCCTCGTGGGATGACCTTGACGCATGTTTGGAGCGGATGGCGGTATTCAAAAATGTACACACGATCTCTGTATGGCTAGAGAGCGACCGATTCGTCGACAACCCCGAAAGCATGACAAGAGAAGACTATGTTGCCATGGCGCTCGAATTTGAGGCAAGAGACAAACGCATGTTGAAGGGTCGCAACGTAACGGTAGAGTACATCGACTACGACGGAACCGTCCACGGAACATTTCGGACCGGCGGCTAAATATTGAACTTCTACCTGAGTTTTACCATATTGGCTGGTTGCGACATATATGCACGACGCACTCAAAACTTGAGAAGGATGCACGGCAGGCGAATTGGAAGGCACAGGGAAAATGTGGGAGGAATCGTCTCAGAATGGTCTCATTGGTAGAAGATGTATTCGGATCAATACACATGATGCCTTTGCCCATTACGGGTTCCGTGCAGCACCAAAATTCACTAGACAGATAGCTCATTTAAACGCAGTTACTGCACCACCACTGGCCTTTCTGACTTATGTGCCGAGCAACGATGATGCGCGTTGCCTTGCGGTCGCCTAAATTCCTCTATCATTTCCCTCACCCATTTGCGGGTCCCTTCCGGCTGCTCAACTGTCTTCTTAACAAAGGTAATATGCAGCAGGCAGTCGTCGCACACGTTAAGCATCTCCCTAGTAAACGTAAAATCCGTATCGACCGTACCCCCGTGAATCTCAAGCATCTTTAACTGTGAGTGCCTTGCAAACATGTGATGTGCAAAGGCTGGAAAGCCTGGCCTTATTATGAACATCTTACCAACCGTTGGCCCAGCCTGGAGCAATTCTATACGTATTTCGCGGAGGATAGATGAGATCATGCTGACCGTGGCCCAAATTTTGAAGTTGTTGACTCGAAGCCCTGTGGAGGCGAGTGTCATAGTCAGTAGCTTGGCTATTTTCTTTGACTGCCGTGGGCTGCCATTGATAAGGCAGCTAGGGTCCCCAATGTGAAGGCTAGACAGCTCAGACATCCCTCCCATGACTGGGGTGAGCATTCTCCACTGCCGGTCGGCGGCTTCAAAGGGTTCAGGTTCGTACTTTTCTGAAAGACATCTTGCTCCAGGAAGAAGCACGATGTTCTACAATGGGCAATCCAAGGCACCTGGGAAGACGCAGCGTGCAACATTCCCCTGTGGGCCGTCCAGGGACGACGTCGACCAGCGCAGGCCATAGTCGGAAAGCGGCGCAGACAGAGGACGGCACGCTCCGAATGGCAAGGCCACAAGCTAGCCAGTTTCCGGAGCAAGAGGCCGTTTCGACGGAGACTCGCTATGCGCCACGCATGGACAACGCAGCCGCAACTGGCGACGACGATCTCGTCAACTAGCGATTCCGCGCGTTCAGGCTCATGGATCACTTTGTCGCGGCGCTGAGCGAGGAGCAGGAGCGCAAGCTGTCGCCCGAGATTGAGCGGGAGCGCGAGGTGCAGCGGGCTGCGCCTGAGAAGCCCGCGTTGCATGCCCTGCATCCGGACATGGTCACCTACGTGGCGACGGGCCGCCTGGCTGCGGATTCGTCGGCCCGGGTGCCAGCTTTTGCCTCGCTGTCGGCTACGAGTGCCGCGCGGTAGCTGGATCTCAATACATGTCCACGTCATGTGTATGTGTCGCGGGACTTTGCGCAGACGGTTGATGGGGCCGGCTCCGACTGCAGGCAGCGGCCTATACAGTGGGTTTTGGTGAGCCCGCCGCGGTCCCAAGCGCCCGCTATTGACACCATGATGGTTATTAGCCCCTATGAGGCGCAAATGCTACTGCCGGCGATCCAGAAATCCACCAGTGTGGCCTTGTGTCTGTACGCGCCGCGGCCGAACCCGGGCTATAGTGCGCTGGATGCTTTGGACTTATACACGGTGCCGGAGCAGCTGGACGTATGTGTGCCTCCGCAATTCGCCATCTGTTTGAATGTATTTGCCGGGCAGCTGTATTTTGGGTCCGAGCTGGAGGCCATCCGCGTCTGTCACTATCTTGGCATCAACTTGTACGCAAACGACGCGGATGCTATGCGCCGAAAAGCGGCGATGCTATGCAGCTTGCATGGATTCACGCAAAATCCGACAAAATTCTTGCAAGTTTTTTTTTCGCAGGTTCGTCGGGGTTGTGGCGGCATTGGCAAGACTCACATGGGCTGCATTTTGGATTCACGCCGCCCCAAGGACTTGTAACGTTGTGCAGGTCGATGGCTATTACCCTGCCCATGATGATCTGTGGTCGACAAGCGATGCCCAAGACTGTAGTTTTCGACCGCACTGGCGGGGACACGCCCAAGACGGATGAGCCTAAGACAGATGAGCCCCAGCCGAATACTGCCGAGGGGCGACGCATGCGACGACGTAAATTGTTTGACAATCAACAGCGAGATGACGAGCTCGCAGCCAGTACAATCGTAGCGACTTGGAACAAGCATCAATACATTGGAGCGACTTACCCCACCCTACGAAGAATATTGTTTCGCCAAGGACGATGGCAGGCGGCAACCGCGGCAGTCGCATCGAACGAGCAGAATCCTGCCGCCCCGTTGCCAAGAGCAGAGATGGACAAGAAAAATGCCCTCTACCAACGTCGATCGCCTGGCTGCCGCATGATGATAAATTAATTCATCGTCGGGACCGAGCACGGTGATTTCTGCAGGCATTTTGGACGTTGCAGGTTGTTGCTTTCATCAAAGTTATGAGAAGTGTAGCTGAGAGCAGCGTGCCCTTTTCTGACAGATAGCCTTCACCCAATCCATGTAAAGATGCCACATAATTGAAGCATAGTGACTGGCGCGGCAATGAGAGACTTTAGGAGCGGCCAACAGCAGGAAAAACATATGTCGAGGGGAACAGTCCTATAGAAATGGATTAGCACTGGAGGCTAGTCGAATGTCGTCCGAGATTCGGCTGCCTGCATATCGCGGATGTCACCTGAGCTGGCATAGATGGAGATGGAAATCACCCCTCATCTTGCGCCCGCGACTCTTTCGTTCTTCGAGTTCTCAAGTCAGCTTGAAGACAATGGCCTACTGCCAACTTTGCGACAAGCCCTTCGTCTCTCAAAGAGCGCTACAGCAGCATCAAGACACACTTCTTCCAGACATGCGTACTGCCGGCGATGCAACAGAAACTTGGCCCATCCTGACGCTCTCCGTCAACATCTGAGAAATTCCCCGAGACACCATGAATGCCAAGAGTGTGACAACGGGGTTGACTACCCCAGTAAAGAAGACTTAAACGACCATTTGGAGCGCGTCCATTTCACGTGCGGGCCTTGCAACGCAAGGTTTGCGAGCCAGGGGCAGCTTCAGGAGCACAACGTCGATGATCATAATTTGTGCATACAGCGCTCAGAATACTTCGACAGCCTATCCAATCTTAAGCATGTATGGTCAATTTGAGGCCGTTGCACGAAGAGCTGCTAACCTCTCCAGCACCAACAATCGCACCTACCGAGGATCATTGAATGCATTGGATTCAATCGAAAGTTTACCAGAAAATCACACATGATATTGCACATGGAGAATGGCGGCTGCGAGTTAGCTGTCGATTGTGACTCTATCACAAGACTAGCGTTTGAATGCGACTCATCCGATTGGTATGAGTGCTCCACGGAGGACTACAACTTCGAATGTCCGACATGCGAAACTCCATTTTAGAACGTTAGTGGACTCTTGCAACATGCCGAAAGCGACGCATGTCAAGTGTCCATGAAGAAAGGGGCGCCTTTATTCAGGCTTCTTAGGTTTCTGCGTTCCCGATTGTGAGTATGAAGGAATGGCGGGCGGCCTCAACAAACCGATACACTCTCATCCTTCGGTACGGCTTATTTATGAAACAGAGCTTCAGTTCTTAACAATTATTGCTTTTGACCGGGTTGCCTGTTAATTCGGAGTTTATGCATCTTCTCTCCTTGTTTTCCATTTTTATTATAGTCACGGCGGATCCGGCGCCGTGGAGTTTCACGGGTGTGGCCGACAACAAAATAATCGCAACGATGACAGCAGGCGGCTCTATTAGAGTGTAGGCATAGGCCGCATTATCATGGCCTTTCTTTGTGCAACAGATCAAGGGCACATTCTACTCCGAACTTGTACAGCCCAGAAAAAGTACAGCACCCGCAGTTCACTAGTTGTCACCAGCCCAACTACTGACTACTCAGGCGCTCGAGTGGTTATCTCTCGGAGGAACGGGTTGCAAATTTTATCACTCAGCTATGGCCGTACATGAGAGAAGTCAGACAAAGATGGTCCAACGATAAGTCTCGGAAGGAAAGCGGATGAGGACCCGATGCTACAATGCCAAGAGGCAAAATTGAGCCTTGCGAGGTTCGGTTTGGTAATCTAAGGTTTCGCTGGGCCTGCTGGGGTTGAGCCTGGTCGTGATGGGGCAAGCCATCTGCGTTGCGGCTCGGGGCTTTTCCTTTTGGCCTGCACGGCACCATCATCACTACCTCATCCCAAGCATATTGCTGGCTGAAGACAGACGAAATCGGGGCTCTCGCTCCATGGGCTGCCCACTCGGCACTCTGTCTGATGTCGTACCACTTGCGTTAGGTCAGGGCTTTTTCACCTCTAACGACTGCACTCGCATCGAACGATCGCACTCACCTTGAACGACTACATTCACCTCAAACATTGCATTCACCTCGAAAGACTGCACCCGAAAGTCATGGCAGCAGGCTCATATACAAATTCCATCATCGTAGATTATGACGAAGTTTGAAACGGGGCTTGCGCACGGACGATGTTACAGCCGGTCAGCTATCTATCATGGTATTTTGCGTAAACGCCAGCAGAGGCTGTTGTACAGTTTTGTGGGTTTGTTCTGGCTAGAGGTACGCCATCGAGGACCGGAGACAAAAGTCAGAGAGGTGCTTCAAAGGCAGTGAATAATTTCTAGCACGACAAAAGCACGCCGTGAAGGGAACAGTGCAAAGCCGACGGCTTCAGCAAGAAGCACGGTGATGTTGCTAGTGGCTAGCTAGTGGCTAGTGGCTCGTGTGCATACGTACTTAGTCTTAGCACAGACGTAGCTAAGGGTCCGTAGCGACGTGGGGCTGAGATCATGAAACCTTTCCGGGGCGTGGAGGCAGAGCTTCGCCATGCTAGACGCCACTTGTTGGCGGGCCTCCTGGTAAACATTGGCCAGAAGCATAAACTCTCTAAGCGAGTAGCTGCTAAGGATGATACAGCGTAGCTCGTCTGGAAGACCGAAGACGCGCTCCCATACGGTCATATGTGCCATGTTCTTGTTGTTCTTGTTGTTCTTGTTGTTCTTGTAGTACAAGGGACTGTTGTGCGGGCCCTCTGGATATGCGACATCCAGTGCTGGTCATCCAGCCTGATGCGGATACGGCCACTGGTATCCCGGCTTATGCATTGCGGTGGTTGGAAAAACTTGGCTTTGCTGCAAAAGCATCCGTGGACCTCACCGCAATTCCGGCTTCGCCATTAGCCAGACAATGCCAAACAGCGGCATAAGAAGAGACTAAAGAAAAAAGGAAAAGAAATCATTCAATAGAACTAGACGCATCAACCAGACGCTTGGACACAAGGTTCACTCAAAGCTCGTCGATACTGTCTGTTGCAGGTCGCTACTTCCAACGTATGGTGGTAGCTGTGAAAGGCCGCTAGTAAGTTGATTCAACTATCTAGTTCCT